TTTTTTTTTTTTTTTTTTGGGTACAATTGAAAGGAATGTTATTCAACAAAGTATAACTTTTTTTCCGTCAAAAGATGTTACTTTTTTATTTTGATAATTTTTTATAAGTTCTGTCAAAAGAAATAATTTATTAGATAAAAATAACTTCTTCTTTTTTTGAGTATTATCAAAAGAAATAATTTATTCAATTTAGATAACAATCTATATATAATCCTCTTCTTTTCATACTTCTTTTTTTTTTGTGTGTGGATGTTGAAAAAAAATATATAATTTCTTCAATAAATATTTTTTTCAAGGTTTTTTTTTCATGTCAAAAGAGATAATTTTTTTAACAGTTACTTTTTATTTTTTTGGTCCGGTCAAAAGAGTCAATTTATTCAACATAAATTTTTATTTCTTGTTCTTGTAAAAAAAAATTATTTAATTTATTTTTTTGTCTTTTCAAAAGAGATCTAAAATAATAAAAATTAGAGATAGAAAAAGAAATCTAAACGGACAATTTTGTCATTTAAAAAGTAATAATTATTTACTTGTAAAGTTAAGGCTAGAATTGTCATTTCATTTAAGATTGTAGTGCAAACGTTGAAAAGTGAAGTGCGGATATCGCCTCAAAAAATATTAAAAACCTACCACCATAAAAAGTTGAATTCCCCAAAATACTCAAGAATTTTGGAACGGCAACCCTTGCACAATAGGCACAATAAAGTTTTTCTCATGATAGAGGGAGTAATAAAAAAAATAAAAAAATAAAAAACCTCAATTTCCTTCTGTAATTAATGAAAATATTCATCAAGAGATAACCTGATAAACTATAAAATAAATTTATACATACATACATACATACATACATATATATATATATATATATATATATAGATAAAGCATATGAAATTACGATTGAAGGACTAGCCTAATTTTGGTCATCGCAGAATTTGTAGAGGTTAGATGTACGCACTCTTATCTTTACATTGAGAGACATTCCGATTGGAATAACTTTACCTTTATGCCGCCCACAGTGTACTATGCTACTATTCATTAATCTTCTAATTTTGGTTATTGCAAAATTTGTGGAGGTTAGATATATATACTCTTATCTTCACATTGAGAGACGTTCTGATTGGAATAACTTTTACCATTACACCAATGCCCACCACGTCCTATGCTACTATACATTAATCTTGGAGTAACAGTAACAAAAGAGATAAGACAAGACAGTGAATTTCCAAGGACATATGCTGCAACAAGTTGATAGGAAGAGCAGTGCGTGCAAGTCGTCTGTAACATATATACTGCGTCCATATGATGCGCAGTAGATGATGATATAGGTGAGAGTAAGTGCATTTATGAGTGGGAAATTGCTTGTTGATGTTGCTCCAAAGAGCCCATGCATAAAACATTTGGTTCCCATTGGTTTCTCACTCATCCACTTACCAATCGACCATCAGAGGAACGAAACGTCGAGTACTTTCGGTTACATTGTGCACCAACTTGTATAAAGTCCACGTTACCATCATTTTTGTGATTGATTGATCATCATCATCATCAGTTTCTCACACACACACACACGCATAGATACCCCTATTGAAGTGAAGTGATATAGATGATTCTTGTGGACCTATGTATATAGAAGAAGATGCCATTGGGGGTCTCTCTTTCTTTTCATTGTTTGTTTTTTTGGGTTTTTGGGAATTTTTTCAAAATTCTCATCATCATGGTCATATAAGATTTTTGAGTGAATTCATGTACTGTTGGGAGAATTACAGGAAAGTCCTACTTTTCATTTTATAGAATCATCCAGAGAATTCGATGGTTTTGTAAGAGTACAACGAGTTTCAGTATATTCAAAATTATTCTCTATAAACCATTAATTTCAATTGGAGTCTTTGGAAACCATAATTGTTGATTTACCTTCGAGACTGTGTTCTCTGACTATGGTACTTCCAAAATCACCAATAGTAGCTCATGATAATCCTTTTCTCGTAAAAATGTTTGTCAAATGAAAATAATAAAAGGCCAAATTACATTAAAATGCATGTACTGAAAAGAGTTGCAAAAAGACCCTTTACTATTTTTCTCCCTTTTTTTTTTTCAACAAAAAATCTTAATTTTATCAAAAGTTACAAATTACTTTGATAAAGGGGTTTTGAAATTTTGGTATTAAAGTAGTCATTTGCTACTATAAGTTTGTGAGGTTTTATATACATCCAATTTTGTAGCTTTACCCATCTTAGGTCATGCTAATGTTGATTACACTAATCATAAACATGCCTAACCTAATCCTAATGATTGGAATTACATGCTTTCTTTTCTTTTCTTTTCTTTTCTTTTCTTTTTTTTGGTTAAATTGGAATTACATGCTCCTCACATGGGATGTATTATATTATGCATTCTCTCTCTCTCTCTCTCTCTCTCTCTCTCTCTCACACACACACACACACACAAACACACAACTAAGTGGTGGGGTTGTATCCATTTGATGCCAAATGCAAGTTGGGTGCGCATCGATGTCTGAGCCCAAGGCGAAATTTGAGCATAGCTTCACAGAGAAAGATACAGAGGACCACATTAAAAAGTGCACTTGATTAGAGATACATTGTTTTGACTGATGTCCAAGTGACATAAATTAATTCCGGCTCATAATGATAATCACATTTTACTAATCATATTTTGTGAGGCCTTGTCCCCATCTTTAGAGTATCTTTCAGAGCACATTGCTTTTATGCCTTTAAATGGGAGGATTAACCTCTAAAGGCAACAACCTAGTTGAGGTTAGGAAGCTGCAACGACCCAAATGAAATTAATGCAATCTTGCATGTCTCAATGTAAAATTCGGGTAGTGAGTTGTGGACTCTAATTATTATTCTCCTGTAATTTAATTGTGGTGACTTTATGAGCGAGTGTGTATAAGCATGTGCAGGTGACACTAGTAGATTATCACACTGAGCGAGTTATATGTGTACCCCACATCGCCTGGATGTGGATGGGACAAGTGTTATATGTAGATTCAACACCCTTCTATGACACAATAAGTTTTAAAGCCGTGATGGCCGTGAACCCACCAAAGCGTGCTTAACCTGAAGTAGTACTAAGATGGGCAACCCCCTACGAAGTTTCTGGTTCGGGGGAGCCAAAAACAGATAATATTGTGTGTGGCTAGGGTGAGGGTTGTTACAAATGGTATCAGAGTCTGACCCAGCCGGAAGTGTAGCCAACGAGGACGTTGGGCCCCAAAGGGGAGGTGATTATGGCGTGTGTTTGAGCGTGTGCAGGTGGCACCTGTAGGCTACCACACTGGGTGAGCTACAAGTGTACAATTCCACATCGCCTAGGTGTGGATGGGGGAAGTGCTATATGTAGATTCAATATCCTTCTATGACACAAAGTATTTTAAAGCAGTGAACCCACCAGAACTATGGCGTTAAGCATACTTAACTTGGAGTAGCATTGCCTGGGTGTGGATGGGACAAGTGTTATATGTAGATTCAACGCCCTTCTATGACACAAAGCGTTTTAAAGTCGTGAACCCACTAGAACTATGGAGTTAAGCGTGCTTTAACTTGGAGTAGTACCAGGATGAGTGACCCCCTGGGCAGTTTCTGGTCCAGGGGAGTCAAATGCAAGCAATATTGTGTCTAACTAGGGTGAGGATTGTTACACCAATGTATAAGGGCGTTTAGGGTTTAGAGTGAGTGCGTGAGAGAGACTGAAATTCGTACAGAATTGAGAGTGAGGGTCTTAAATTTGTAATATCCAATTTTACACACAGTGAAGACCTCACCGTAGAGGTAAGAGATAACAGGAAGAGGTCCGAGTTTTTCCCTTTAAACTATAGTTGACGTTTTTTCATAATTAATTAAGCATTTTGACACACCAAATGGTGCAAAGCACAGGGGCGGATTCAATCTAGAGCTCATCTTATATTATTCATTTTTCACATTCCGAGTAATTACAGTTTTTAAAACATGTCTACACAGTTAGGAGGTGTCCACACATATAAATACCAACAACCTCTTCTCCTAGACGATGTGGGACGTTGGTGCAAAGCACAGGAGCAGATACAATCTAGAGCTCAACTCATATTATCCGTTTTTCACATTCTAAATAAGTACGGTTTTTAAAACACGTCTACATAGTTAAGAGGCGTCCACACATATAAATGCCAACAACCTCTTCTCCTAGACGATGTGGAACGTTACAATCACTCTTTATTGAGACTCGGAGTCCTCGCTAGCGTGACTATCATGTGCTTTTGCACACTCTTTCATTTTCGGTTTGGGATTGAATTTAATACCATCTGTCACGAGTCGTCTTATTTGTATAAATATTGCCCGCTTTGCACACTATTTGTGTTCACAGTTTTTAAAACGCATTTACACAGTTAGGAAACATCAACCCATATAAGTGAAAATCGTAAACAAGAAGAGAAGAGTGTGTAAAGCAAATAATATATCTATGTGGTGGTTGAGTCCTAATCGAAAATGGGAGTGTGTCTACAAGCTCAAGCGAATCCACCCAGCAAGGACGTTGGGTTCCTAGTGAGGTTTGATTTTATCCGCAACACGAATCTGCATTTTACTCATTTTACACGAATCTGCATTTTACTCATTTCGGTGCACAAGACGCGCACAAAATCACCTTCCTCTTCGAATCCCGTCTGATTATTAGTACCAAACTAAACTAGAAGGACTTTCTTGCACTTTCCCTTCTCGTTCTCCTCTTCTCTTTTCTTTTCTTTTCTTTTCTTTCCTCCATTATACCAAACACAACTGTTACTAATACCAAGTCTTTTCACTCAGTCTGAGTGTTTGCGGGCATAGTGCGGGTAGGCCAACATGTCGTCCGATTTGAAGAAAGCCGAGTCAACGCTTTTACCTCGAACCAGTGACGTCAGCCTCCACGTCACCTCCAGCTCCGCTCAACTTCCCTACCCCATTCCCTTTCCACATAAGTAGCTCCAATGCTTCCCCACACTCCTCATTCATTCAACTCTCTCTCTCTCTCTTCTCTCTCTGCACCCAAAAACAACCACCATGTACGGCCTCACCACTGCCACCACCGCCACCTTCAACGACGACTCCACCGACTTCTTCAGCCATTTTCCACCACCTTGTGCTTCCTTGGTAGCACCTCCTCCTCCTCCTCCTCCTCCGCCTCTGATCATTCCCGGCAACGAGTACGACTCAATGTCGGCCGCGCTGAATTTGGAGGTCTGCCACAGCAGTAGCAGTTGCAGCAGCTACAGCTCGCCGAGTTCGCTCATGAGTTGCTCCACGACTCAGAGTACGAGTTTGATACAGAGGAGTGTGAGCAGTCACTCGCTTCGGAAGAATGGGGTTTGCAGCCAACTCGTCTCGTCGCCCACGGAGTTTGTTGAGTCGGAGAGTAGTCTCGTCCGGAGGGTGTTCAGCACCGGCGATTTGCATGTGAGCTTCCAAAATGATCGGAATAGACCCGGTTTTAGTGCATGGTTTTACTCTTGGTAAAAGAAAAAAAAGTTTTAAAAAAAATTATTTTTGTAATAAATTGTTCTCTAAAAACTGTCTCAAAATTATTTTTAATTTTAAAGTGGTAAAAAAAACTGTTTTAAATTAAAAAGTTAACCGAACAAGTCCTTAGTAATGAGATAGTGATGCTCACCCTAAATTTTTGTATTTATATCTTATAGTTATAACTGTGTTAATATTTTAGTAATATTTCCACGAAATTTTGGTGTGTGTATATATATATATATATATATACCACCCTCACTAATTTTTTTGATAAAATTCTTAATATTAAAATTCTTTTGTTTATTATGATAGTATGATTTTTTATTTTATTTTTTCACCTCGGCAAGAATAGACTTTGACTCTACTTATGAGAATTTAAACCCTCAAATTTTTAAAATGTGAAGAAGTATAATTAGGCTACAATTTTGGTGATTAGTTTGAAATTTCTTTATCACCAACCCCTCAAATAATTTTTTAGCCCTGTGGAAGAGAGAGAATTTCAAAATTGACTTCATAAAGTAGGCGCATGGATGCCTTATGGACATGCGCAAATGCCATATTCATAAACGGAGTGAACTGAATAGTCTAGTTCGTAGAGGCATTCCCATGACTCGTGGGAGCTCAGGTTTGACTCATTCCATTCTCCCCAAAATTTCCCAAATCCATAAACGCCATTTATTTTATAGCCCTTATATGGCTTATTGTGAAGGCTTATTGTGGTTGTAATTGCCTTTTGCCTGTACTTTATAGTAATTTTGCTGTGTAATTGATCAATTATTGCTTGTTACTAAAAATTTTTGGTTTTTCTTTTGGTATAATTTAGCAGAGGATTAATATGATGCAACATTGCCATCGATCAGATAGCACATTATCCAATGAGATTAGTATCATTGAGGGAATGAACAAAGCTTGTCGTTACAGCCCAGAAGAGAAGAAAGAAAGAATTGAGAGATACAGAAGCAAGAGAAATCTCAGAAACTTCAACAAGAAAATCAAGGTCTCATTCTAATTTTTTTTTTTTTACCATTAATTACACACTTATATCACTAAGAAATGCTTATAAATCTATCGATTTTAGAAAATTAAACTCATTTATTCTGAACTTCACATGTTTTTTTCATTTTTTTTTTATGAAACAGTATGCGTGTAGGAAGACATTAGCAGATAGCCGACCACGAATCAGAGGACGGTTTGCAAGGAATGATGAAATTGAGAAGAGCCCTCAGAATCAATGGAGTCATATAGGCGGGGAAGAAGACGATGAGGACGATGAGAATTGGATCAATTTACTCGATGCTTTCACGGCTAATTTGGTTCCTTAATCGCAGATTAGTTCTGCGTTGAATGGTTTAACAGATAGTGTGGCAGTTCTAAGTTGCTGGTTTCTTATTATGATGATGCATTTTAAAAGCTATTAATTAAGCTTTTTTAAGTTAGGTAATGTAAATATGGTTTTGATTGTATGACCATTTGGAGCTCACTCAAAAGTCTAAAGAGAGAGTTCTTAATTGCTAGAAGATGTTTACTAACTGGCTTTAGGCAGTTTCTGATCATCAAAAATGCTTAATTATTTCAGGCTATCTTCCAAGTCATGTGTAAATGTTTTAGCATGGCTTTAGTCAGTTTTTGATCATCAAAAATGTTTAATTATTCAGGCATAGCCATCTTTCAAGTCTTATATAAATGTGTGTACATATATATATATATAGAGAGAGAGAGAGAGAGAATATGAGTTATGGACATGCCCTAACATGTGGGACATTTAGCTTGTTATTGATCCTGAGCTTAATCATAGGTTTATGGCTCAACCGAGCTAGAAGGGACAGTTGACAATGACCCGACCTTCTGAATTTATATGCACAGAATGATGGTTGTAGGTTGGGCGTTAGTCCCATCTAATAGCAAAGCACCCGACCCGTTATAGTTGGTATCAGAGTCAAACACATTCCTTAATCTAGTGTCACGCCAAGCACTAGAGAGGTCCGACTCAACAGCCCAGGTAGGCAGGATAGTCCGACCTTGCAACGAGATCGTTACAAGTTCAGTTAGGAGAGAATGTTATAAGAAGGCCCACATCGGATCCGAATAGAGAATAAGTGAATGATTAATATGAGTTGGGTGTTAACCCAGCTAATAAATTAAGCTTTTGAATCAGATCACGAAACACCAGCACCTTACACTTACCCACTTGAGCCACCCCTTGGGGTTAAATGAACCAAGGAATTGACATATTTAATTTTGGTTGTCTTCATTTCTATATATATATATATATATATATGCTAAGTGTTCATTGATAATTAATTATGCAAAGTGAATGATTAATATGAGTTGGGTGTTAACCCAGCTAATAAATTAAGCTTTTGAATCGGATCACGAAACACCAGCACCTTACACTTACCCACTTGAGCCACCCCTTGGGGTTAAATGAACCAAGGAATTGACATATTTAATTTTGGTTGTCTTCATTTCTATATATATATATATATATGCTAAGTGTTCATTGATAATTAATTATGCAAAGACCTGAAAAGGATGGATGTCTTCATTTTGTTAATGTTTGAAAAAGGACAAAGAAAGAGCTAGAAGGTCATTGTGACAATGCAATTATTCCTAGGTAACACTTCTTATGCTCTGTTTTTTTCTTTTTCCTTTTTTTAGCAAGTCCTTTTTCTTTTCTCTTTTTCTTTTCACTACCACAAGCTTTACCCAAATTGTTATAAATAATATAAGCTTTCTACCAGATGTTGAGTAAGGTGTAAGCACTAAACATCTTAAAAACCAATTAGCAAATCAGCAGTTGATTATTTTAGTTATTAAGGGGTGGAAGCAAGGCTTTACTGAATACTGTGTGTGTGTGTGTAGCTCTTATCTCCAGAAAAACTAAGCTTAATTCATAATGGTTGAAGGGGTTTGTGGTTGTTCCAACTGCATTTTGCAAAGGAAAGATTCGTATGCAATCTATATAATCAGTGATGCATTTTGTTGAGTTTGATGTTCTTCAGCAAATGTAAGTTTCCAAATTGGGTAATTTGATTCACAACTTTTGCTGAGAAAAACCACTTATCTAGTTGTAGAGAACTGGATTCAATTCTTGGATAATTAAAACTAATATCTCCTAATGTCTCCTCAAGCATAAACTAGATAATTAAACTAATTTCAATTTGACAAATCATTGTAGTCTAGTAATACTTCCTCGCCTTCCAAATACAAGCCAAAATTTGCAAAGATTACTGTCGTACCATTTTCATTTTCTGATTCCATCTTTTATTTCTTAGAAAAATCTTGAAAACTTCTGGCTTTCTTATTGTTTCATTCTAATTTTTTTAAAAATGCCTGAAAACAACCTATATTTTTAAGGAGATCATCTTAGAACAGCATCTCAAAGAAACATGTTTTTCCATGTTCTCATTTCTACCACTTTCAAAAACACAAATGGTTTTCACTATATATATATATATATATGATAATTATATCAAACAGGCTGATCTTTTTCAATAGGTTCCTCTTGTTTTTACATGTATTGCTGCAACTTTCTTGCCATTAAATCCACCTAATCTATATAGCCTTTTGCAATTTTAATACTAAGCTCATACACAGCCCACCAACATGAAAGCAATAGCATTACAGTGCAGGGCATGTACTACAAAGACACAAACTAGCATATCAAGCCCCTCACCTTCAAGGCTCTTTATAAAGTGTATCTTTGGCTTTACAAGCCATACCAGTGTTTTTCTAATCCAAAGGTAATAAATATATCTTAATATATGTTCACACTAATCATTAGGTCGCCCATGTTAGTGAATTATGAGTTGTAGCTTAAAATAATGGGGAAATGATTTGCGGGTAATATCAGAAATAGAATCTGAACCCAACATTTTTTTAGCTAAAGTCTACTGCTTTCAGGCCAGCCCCTAGAGGTGGGGACGACGGCCTTGTTGATTCTTGTCTGCCGGCGGTGGACGACCCACTGAGTTTATCAATAGTTTTATACGATAAAATCAAATCAAACTAAATTAAACTAAAATGTTAGGGAAACATAGGCTTATATGCATATTTTATACATGCATACACTAATGCTCTATTCTTTAAAAAATCAATAGACCTCATCTTAGTTTTACTTTCCATGTCTTCTTCCTCAGCTGCCAAACAAATTTAAAACACTATATGGGACTTTTTCTTCTCTTCTTTTGGTTGTTTTTAGTTGCCTACCCCATTTCGCTATAAGATAGTTGATTTTGTGTCTTGACAGAAAGCTAGATCATCTGCAACCCCTAGTAGCTCGGAAAAGGCATGGCTAGTTATGCTAAAGAATAACCGACTGCTAATAATTTCTCCCGACTGCAATTACTTGTCTCCATCATAATGCTAGTTTGACTTATTAACACAAAGCTTTCCATTTAGGGATAAAATAAAATAAAAATACTTGAGCACATGAAAACCATTATTAGAGTGGTACTGGTCAACTAATAGTAGGAACTTGTTAGAAGCTCCCTGAGTCTCTTCCCCCTTCTACCCACTAAGAAACTAGAGGAAAATAAAATAGAATTTAAAATTTCAAGTGGTTATAACTCTCTCTCTCTCTCTCTCTCTCAGACACATGCATATATATATATATATATATATATATATATATATATATATATATATAAATAGAAACCGAATAAAGCGTTATTCAATTTTAAACGAGTCACAGATAAATTTAAGGGTCTCCTATCCCATCTCTAGATACAAGGTTCTTATGTCTCATTTCTTTTCCATTTTTTTTTTTTTTTTCCTTCAGTTATCTTCTATGTTCTACAAATGTAATTACCCACTACTCCAGAATCTTTTCCTTTCCTTTTTCTTACTTTCTTTTTAAGTACATAATGGGGTTGAGGGTGAAAACATCCCATAGTAGCTTTTTTCCCTTCTATTTTTTTAAGCCTTTTCAGCAACTGGCTTCTTACTTTCTTAGTAACCAATAAAATGATCTGTCAACATTTCCCAACATACCAGCCCACAAAATGCTCTGTTTTCTACCTGCTAAACAAATAATTAAATTAGAAAGATTTTTCATTCTCCTGTCAGATCTAATAAGACCAGAACTTTTTTTTTATCAAGTACTCACACACACGTTTCCCACGCTGGGGCTCGAACCTCTCTCCTGTTTAAGGGTAGGGAGGTTATACCAAATGGCCCATTGGTAGAACTTTAATAGACTCAATGTGAACATTTATTTCTACATAGTAAATCTATTTGCATGTAACAAGAATTCCCCATGCACGAAACATACAAGCCAAAAAAACATTTAATATGTTGTCATTATTGCGTTGATTAGTATATATATTGTAATATTAAGCAAGGAACAATTCAATTTCTTGCATGGTTTCTTCTACTCTAATTGCGTACAACAGTTTTATACCATCTAATAGTGAGAGCCGTACTGCAAATTTAACTTATTTTCGTAATAAACTGCCAATTCTTGACAAAAGGGTGAAGAATTTATCCTCTTCGATCAAGACAAAATTTATGTCATAGCCAAAATGAAAGAACACAAATTTTAATAAGGATTGATATAAATTTACAACTTTTTAACCTAAATAATAAGAAATAAAACAATTAGAAAATGGTGAGAACATCTAAGCAATCATAAAGATGTCCATCAACAATAATAATTTAAGAGGGAATGCTTACAAGTTAAAGGATCTAGAACTTCTTATTTGAATTTCGAGGTTTCTTCTTGAAAAGCCTAGGATGCAACACACGATTGAAAGGTAATAAAAGAGGTTGATGCGTCATCTTCTGTTTCACTCTGCCTTTCCCTGCATTCAATAAGACAAGGGATCAATAAGAGATTGTGTATTACAGTAGTTCCTTACAGAACTAAACTTCAATAAGCTATAACTGCTAAATACAACTTTTGATAGATGGAATGGATCTCAGAAATAGTATCTTGAGAGATTCAAAAAAAAAACACTAGTGTTGATAATTTGAGAGAATTCATCCTGAAGTTTGAATATCAAAATCAAGTGCATTTGTTTATCAGATTCTGCAAAACAAGAGGAAAGAAGAAAAACTTGAACAATAGCAAAGTTTCAATGAAAAGAGAACTAAGGCACAACCTAGGATACAATTGCCCATAATTTTTACGCAAGAAAATTATGAACACGGGCAGGAGAAACATTTTGCATGACTAAATGCATTTTATTCAATGGAGGAAGAGGAAAAGTTAATACCCCAAGCTTTAAGTTAATAAAGTCAAAAGATCAAATTATGATAGAATTAAGGAATTCTTAAATGAAATCTGAAAATTTGTATATAATTATAGAATTCCATTATGTCCATTGTGCTCACAGAAATAATAGGCACAGTACCTAACACAGATTCATCCAAGGTTGCATAATTAATTGCAACATGATCTTCTGTTTGCTTTTGCTCTTCCATCACCACCTCCCCCACTTGCTCATTATTTGCAGCTTTATAATTATGTTCATCTTTCATCCCATCGTAAGGCTCCAGTACTGGCAATCCATCAGCAAGGCTAATCGAATCTTTATAATTATGTTCATCTTTCATCCCATCATAAGGCTCCAGTACTGGCAATCCATCAGCAAGGCTAATCGAATCATCTATTGTTTCCCTAAACTGTTCTCTTTCCAAAGAAGACATGTCTTGTGAGGACAAAAATGGATCTTCACTTCTTACATCTGTTTCAATTGAGACTTCATCCAACGTAACATTTGGTGAAGCCATAACTGCATCTACACCATTTGACCTCTCAGACTCTTCACTCTGAAAAGCAGAACATTCAATATCCTTCGATGGATTGAAAATTTGTGCACCAGCAACAGCATTAACAGTTGAGATATCAGTGTCTTTCACCAAACTTTGAAACATGTTATGGTCAGCTAACATAACATGGGTTTGGCAACTAGCTTTGCAACTTTGTGACTGCAAATCGTGCATTCCGATTCCAGTAGGGGCAAGATATGCCTCCAACCCATTTGAACTTTTAGGTTCTTCCTCAGTAGTGGTGGTATCGGTTACAATTTCCTCAGTATTAGTGAAATTTTTAAGGGTGTCAGTTGGTGAAAATGTCATTCTGGAATCTTCAGTAATTGAGCTCTGACATTTTAATTGAGAATTACACAATGAAGTCCGATCTTCCTTCGCAAAAAGATTAGGCCTGTCGGGCTGTTTCGTTATTCCATTAATCGCAGCTGCTACCCCCATTTCCTCAGCAATAGACAAGTGTTTACGAATGTCCAGTGGCTGTGACGCAGCCTTCGTGATAGATATGAAATCCTTAACTTGCAAACCATGTGATGGCAAGCTATCCACAACAGAAGCAAAATCAATGGGTTTCACAGTTTTGGATGTTTTATTAGAGGTGGAAAAAGACTTTGCCATATCATCTAATAGCAAATCACCTTCACCACTGGAGATAGGATCCCATTTAAGCCAGTCATGAGACCAATGTTCCTCAGAGTCAACCCTTTCGCTTGATGATATTACTTCAACTTTAATGGCCTCCTTGTAACACTGCTTTTTCCTTAGAGAATTAGCTAAAAGAGATCTGCATGACATCAGAACAAACATTTCAAGCACATTAAACATCAGCACATTCTCCTAAATCACCTCACATATTTGCAAGTTGGCATACCTACAATTTTTGGAAATAGCTGCTTTAGCACGTTCCATAGGAAGCCCAAGCAGCAAAGACAAATTTGCAACATCATATGGCCCTCTAAGTTCAGTTACAGAAGGAGCAGCACTGGAGAAGATAATATTTTTTCCTCGAGTCCAATCAACCAGTAACTGAAGATTAGCACTTTGTCAGTGAGAGGATTATTTGACACATAATGCACACTTTGAGAAAATAGGAAAATACCTACCCCACAAAAGATATCAAATAATTAGCATTTTAGACATGAGTGATACCACCTTTTAAGAGATGATTATTTCTGCTTAGCATTGAAATGGATATATATTTATACATACAGAATTGTATATATACATTTCTGTATTTATAAATATACAATAACATTTCAATGATTGTGCTAATTCATTAAAATGGAGTGTATTCTGTTTGTGTGTGTGTAAATATTTATACATACACACACAATAGAAATGAGACCTGACTAGCATCAAACTGAATTTCACATTAAATCAAGGAAAGCTGAAATGAAAATGTTATGATAAAGTGTCACTGTGTTGGCAATTTCTATAATCAGAACATGTGTTCCAGTTGGTCGAGTCTTTTGGTTTGTTTTTGGGTCGGTCTGTGTCTATCAATCATATTAATCTGCCTGCTGATTCATTTGAATGAGATGTGATCAAAAACTTCGATTAAGGACTACATAAAAAATGTGCTGTCAATATATTCCAAGAAGCTATATCCAGCACTGATTAATTAATATTTAGGCATTGACCCACCTGAGGACTAACACCAATAGGAAAGGGAGAAGAAAAAAAAAAACATGGGCAACTAAAATTGTCACAACCCATAAAAATTGGTGAAGAAAAACACTACTCCCTCATCCCAAAATTCTTGGGTGTTTTGGGGAATCTAACTTTTTATGATGGTGGACTTTTAATATTTTTTAATTATATTGATAAGAGTGAATTTTCAAATTTATCCTTGCTAAAAGACAAAAGATACTCCGAAATCAGTGCACTTATTTAATAAAGTAAATGTTAAAAGGGTAGTTTAGGAATGTTATAAAAAGTAGTACATCCATTTTAGGAATGGGACATGCATTTTGAGACGTCCCAAAATAGAAAGATGGACAAGTATTTTGAGACGGAGGTCGTATATTTATTTCAGTATCATTCAACATGATGTCTAAGAAATGAAGTTCACTTCAACATTTCAGCCTATCAAGAGCAGTAACGTGAGAATTTGTAACATCTAGTTCTACCTTTCCATCCTCTTTACACCTTCAACTAAAAGGCTACCCTGTTGATCCTGTCAATGCATGATGCTAATAAGGGAAAACTAAATATAGACCTAAGCTTATATTCGCACAAAGTGGGCACTCCAAGACTCAATCCTATGCCCTCATGCTTTACAGCTCAAGTATATTACCATTACCAAAACTCCATACAAGATTACATACTTTAACTGAAACGTCCTGATTTCCCCCAATTCATAATGAATTATCTTTTTTTTCCTGGAATACAATTTCAAGGGTTTTATTTCCCTTCATGTATCCTTATTTTAGGACTTGAAATGATAGCATTAAGCTCAGTTTATATCTTAAAGCTTTATGTTAATTACATATTAGAAATTTATGTAGTCTTATTATATTTATCTACTCTTGTATATATCACATCTGCTTTCATTGTCAAGTGACAACAGACACTACAAAACCTTGTATTATATTTGAAAATCCAATTCACTGACAATCAGCGTAGCAAGTTTACATCTCAAATTTGACACCTGATATCAGCTTGAGTAATTCATGTGATATTGTAGTTAAACTTGCATGAAAACCTAGTATAAACTTTCCATATTATTAGTAAGATTGGAAGTAATTGATTCAAATACATTAAGTATTTAAAAAACCCATTGGAGAGGATTTTAAAATGCAACCGCTGAGGATGGTCAAAATTGCAAAATAAAACATTACTTACATCTAGTAGTCAAAAAAAAATTCTCAATCCTCACCTTGGCATTGGATATCATTTGCCTCCTTACTTGAGCATCCATCATAAGACTGGAGTACATAATTTCAAAATAAACACCGCGCTGCACATCAAAAACTATAAATCAGTTCACATTCAGCAAAATTAGAATAGAGTACATGGTTTTAAAATAAAACCAACACCAAATATCAAGTATTATAAATTAACCCCCATTTGAATTGTTATCAAAAGTTACTAACAAACATATTGGAAATTAAATAAAGCCTCAAAAAATAGTGCCATAACACCAGCACACAGACAAATCATGGTTTTTAAGGTGATATACAATTAGAATGATCAACCCAAATTTCAATTTTACTGAACCATTTTGTTGAGTATAGGCATATCAACTGCTGTGTTTCATGATATCCAGCTATTTTCATCAATATCTACAAAAATTTCATACACTATCAAGGCATCTTTGCTAAGACATCACTTCTCAAATTTTCCAGAATTAATCCAAAACAACCGAAATCAATGTCCCAATGTGTGGAAATTCATAAAAGCAAACAGACAAAACAGTAAAGGAACAAACCCCAATTGCAGCTTTAACCATGGGTTGCTTCAACCGAAACGGCAACTTCTCAGAAAAATCAATAGAAATCAAATCCACCTACACATTCAAAAAAAAAAAAAAAAAAAAAGAAAAAGAAAAAAATCCATAAACACCAAATAACTTCTCAGAAGAATGCTCAAACAACACACCTGAGAAGCAATATAAATATCACAATACACCAAATAACTTTAAAGAAATAACCCATTTTTATCAAAATTCAAAACCCACAACAGACCTCAGAAGCCTGACACGCCTGTTCGAATGCATTCTGATTCAGAGGCCGAACCGCGACGATATCATAACTCTTGAGAATGGGATTGCCGGAATTGAGGGACGAAGCTTGAGAAGGACCATCGACGTTGACAGTCAAGCGCGTGTACTGACGGAAGGGGGTAGAGATGGGGACATTGAGGAGGTCACGGTGGAACTTCACGGAGGTAGAGAGGGAAGGAGCGAGTTTGAGTATAGAGGAGAGAGGGAAGAGAGAGATTGAGCAACGGTCCGATTCTGACATCACGCCCTTGATCGTACGGTTGTAGGCAACTCCAGTGTAACCTAGCTCCATTGCCTTCACTATGAGCTTCAATCGGGTCGTTTTTCTGGTGGATTTTTCTTTGTCGGTGATGAGTTTATCTGATTCCAGGTAGGGTATGTTCAGGTCGAAGAAACCCATCTCTGTGTGAGAGAGAGTGTGTGTGTGTGTGTTTTAGAGTTAGGGTTTGCGAACGGACTTCTGTTTAGGAGTTAGGGTGTGTTTGGATAGTATTAGTTACGAGAGAAAAGAAAAGAAAAGAAAGGATAGTATTAGTAAGAAAAGAAAAGAAAAGAAAAGAAAGAATAGTAATAATTTTTATTTGTGTTTGGATAGACAGGGGAGAAAAGAAAAGAAGTGATAGTTATTTTTGTTTGGATAAAATAGAGAAGAGAAAAGAAAAGAAAGGATAATAGACAAATTACTTTTTTACCCTTTCATAACCATAGGACTTGGATGGAATAATAAATCTGTGTATTGATTTGTGGAGGCTAATTTTGGTATTATCAAAATACCACTAAAATCACTATCCTTTCTCTCACTATCTCTCCCTATCTTCTCAATTTTGAGGAGAAAGCAAATAAGAGATAAGGAGGGATAGCTATCCCTCCCTATCTCTCCTTATCCCTCCCTATCCCTCCACTTAAGTTACCCAAACACAAACTTACACTATCCTATCTTTTCTTTTCTCTCCCTATCCCTCCAAATCAACCCTACCAAACACACCCTTAGTGTTTTAGAGCTGAAACGAAGACTTCTTTGTATGCTTTGTTTAAGGCCAGAGAGGCACGTTTGGTTCAGTAATCTAAAATAATTTTCAACAGTTATTTGTTTATTTTTATTTTTTTGGGGTAAGTAAAATATTTTTCAGGGGTAGACAACAAATTGAACAAGATTATCTTTTCATTTTCTTTGTGTATATTCAATACCTTTCCCGTCCTCTGTTTTCTATTTTGTTTTCCACTAAGCACTGAACCATATGGTGTGGAATTGATATTTGTACGGGTAGAAAGTTTCCAGGGTATTGGTTTAAATTAAACATGAACTTTGTTTAAAATAGCTTTTGAAAAGAAAAAAAATTAAAGTAAAGCTAAAAGGGGTTTTAAATTTAAAATATATTTTCTAACTGTGATGGATGACGAAAATTGATGGTTAGTAATAGACATTTGGTCACGCAAAGATTGGTTGAAAGTTTAGGAGAATTGTATTGAAGAGAAATATTTTTATAAAATTTTTAGGATAAAATGCAAGAAACTCCCCGGACTATTGAGAAATCTGTAACTAACTTTATTAATTTTAAAAAATATAAGAAATTTCCTAAACTATGTAAAATTATTGCAGATGACCCCATCCGTCCAAGGTCCAGTGATACATGACCATTAAAATTGGTTTGTTAAATTTAAATGACCATATTGCCCATAGAAGCGTGAAAGGACAATAATGCCCTTAATTTCCAATTTCTTAAAATGGAACACCAACACAAACATGCCCTTTATCAGAATTTTCCCAAATCGACAACTCTGTAACTGCTATGGTTTGTCTTCGTTTTCAATCAGCCATCGTGTTTTCGTGCCAATCAGTTGTGCATCTTGGTAAGAGTTTCGTCAGTGGAGAGAGATGATCGTGGCGCCTAAATTGGACTAAGAACAAATCAATATCCCATATTTCAAATTGGAATCTAATTCTTTCTTAATCAGTTTCCATACATATAGAAGGTCTGATTTCTCTTAATCAGTATCACATACCTGTCTAATTTAAACAATTCTTTCTTATTTTTTTTTGTTAGCACCAAAATTGAGATGAATTTGGGAGGGAAAAAAAAAAAGAAAAAAGAAAAACAGAAAGAGAGAAAGGGGTAGAGGATTAGAGAGATGGATAAATTTCTTGGATAGGAGGAAGATTGTTGGTAGATAGGTAAGAAGCTTGAGCATCAACAGCCAGATTGACAAGAGTAGCAACTTCACTGACGAATTTTCAAGGACCCAAATTAACGTGTTGTTCCGGCGAGCTCTGAGCTTCGACGTCGATGAAAATCGGCGAGAGCTTTGGGCTTTGACTTACATAAAATCTGACGTGAGCCTGGACTAACCCAACAGCGAGCTCCGTTCATCTAGTTCCAGTGAGTCTCGACTGACCCAGTGCTGGATTCTTGAATGGCCGGATCCGGCAGGGGCGACAGTAACCGAGTTTCTCTTTCTGCACTCTCACATATCTGCAATCGTCTTTCACCCATCTCATCTTCCTTCTCATAACTCTCACCACTCTCTTCAATACCATCACTTCCGAGTTGGACTCGGACCGAGTCACCAACCTCCTCAACCTCCAATCCCAATCCGAATCCGGGATCATCTACCTCAACATCCAACTCCTCAATCAGTTCATCACCTCTCCAACCGCTTCCGCAACCTTAAGGATGATTCGCTTCAGATTGGACGCTAGAAGCTTCTCTCGATTGGCCGAGTCCATGGCCGAATTCATTGACTCCAAAACCAAGCTTACCATCAGTGTCTGAAATTTGGGGAAAGAGAGGAGAACGAGAGATGACGTGGAGGGGGTTCAAGGTTTGATTTAATGACGAAGGTTGCTGTTGGTGAGATGATGAATTTGGGTGGTAGCACACGACTGGGCATAGATTAGTAAAGAGAGAATGTTTTTGGGTCTGCAAAATTGCAAATAGGAAGAAGGTCTGCAGTTGGTTTGATATTGTTTGCCAAACTGCGTCGTTTTATTGGAAGGGCAGCTTTGTCTTTTTTCTTTTCCGGTGACCTGAGTGGGCAAATTGTAACAAATTCAAAGTTGAGGGGGGTTTCTTGTAGTTCAAAGGGATTAGTTGCAAAACCCCCATAGTTCAGGGGAGTTTTTTGCATTTTACCCAAATTTTTATTTTGTTTCGTAAATCAACAATTCTCGAGATTCATACCCACATCCCAATGTATCTGGCATGTAAAACGAAATGATGAATGAATAAATTCAAAAAAAAAAATGAAAAATACCCAAAAAATATGAAAAAATAATAATAATAAGGAAAATTGTGAAACGTCACACATGTGATGCACGAGCACCTCAAGCTAATTGGGGGTACATTTTCTATTCATCGTAGACTTTGATGTGTTTTAATCGATATGGGAGCATAACATTCATTTGTATCTGGATTGTTTAATGTTTTAAGTCATGACGGTGACATATCTATACCATTGATCTTCTAGCATTTTTTTTACACCACTAGATGTTAACATTATTTTATATAAGAATTGTGGACATGTTGCATTAGAAATTGATATAATTAGATATATAGTTTTGGACATGCATTTTATTTTTATGAAATAAGACGGATGGATTGAGAATTTCATCGCCATAGTTGAATTCATAGTTCTATATAGATGAGGGGTTCACATAGGGACTAATGTATCACGTGTTAGTATTTCGTTAGTATAAGAGTTTTACAATGTTTTCACTAAAAGTCAAAGTTGCCATCGAGTCAAAAAATAAGGTTTGACATCGATTTAAAGAAAAATAATTGAAAGGAGTATCTCACCATAGGAAATACCGCTATTATGTGTTGGGAAGGGATCTGAGATCAGGCGCTTGAGTCAAAAGATAAGTTTTGGTTACGAGATTTAGGTAGCTACTGATTTGGGGGTGATTGTGGATGGTGGTGGTCAAGAACGAATCCAAGATTTCTAGTTGGAGTGAGCTAATTTTAGTATGGTGACTGAGTTGACTTGGGCTTGATTGGGTGGGCTAATTTTGGAATAGGCTAATACTATTAATATATATATATATATATATATTTGGTTGGGCTAATATTAGTATAGTAAAAAAAAAAAATTAAGGTGGGCTACAGCCCATCTTTCTATCCGCCTTTGGTGGTGGTGGTGGAGGAGAAGGTGGGTGGTGGTGGCGATGGTGAATGATGGTTGTAGGGGTGGAGATTGCGGTGGCGAGCGGAGAGAGAGAGTAAAAAAGTTAAGCAGTAGCAGGCGGGCGGGCAATGGTGGATGGTGTTAGGATAAATAGAAAAAGGCTGTGGATGGTGGTGGTGGTGGTGGAGATTACGGTGGTAAGTGGAGAGAGAAAAAAGGTTGGACAATGTAACGACCCGAACCCGGGGGTCCGAACCGTTAACCGGGTCCTTAACCAAATCCGAGGATACACTAGGGGTAAAATGATCATTTTACATTATGAGAGGGTTAATCCATCCTTAAACTAATTAAATGCGGTTTAAAACAATCATTTTGGTCATCCCATGATACTCGGTGAGGTTCTACAGTCTTCGGTTATGAATTCCCAAAAGTACCGTTATCGGTTCAAGGGAAATTTCGATAATGTTCCACTAAAACAATCATAACTCTCAACATGAATGGAATTTGAAGATAAGGTTGGTCTCATTGGAAAGCTAACTCAAAATTCTTAAAAATAGACTCAATAATGACCCTATTTAGGTTTGGAACAAAAAAGTTATGACCACCCGAAGTCAAACAATCCAAGCTGTCCAACTGAGGAGCCAAATGAGAGCACTGGGGGACTTGGACCGATTCAGTGGGGCTGAATCAGTTCAAGATGGGCAATATGCTCATCCGTGAACCAAAGGCACCCCCTTGAACCGATTCAATGGGGTTAAACCGATTCAAGATGACCAAAACCTTAAAATCAACCCAGAAAATCCTAAAACTGAGTACTTATGCACATGGCACCCCTTTGGTCCCTTGGTGACCTTAATTAAATTTAAAACATGTCCTAAATCATGAATTCATTAGTGTGTGAAACACAATTAAACTTCCGTACCTTCAATTAAACTGAATACTAGTCCAATACATCGTTTAAAGACAAATAAGTCCAATTAGATCAAAATATGGCCTTAAGGCCCTACATATACAACTTTAGGTCACAAATGAATTTCCATCCATGTTTCAGATACAAAATGTAACTCATTACAATTTTACAACAAAATTGAGATAAATACATTAATTATAAAGGGGAATTGAAATCCATCCAACCCAACTAAGCTTATGGGAGTACTATCGGCCACCTCTTTCCCATGACCTGAAAAATGTAGAGAGGTGAGCACAAGGCCCAGTAGAGAATGCCTAAGTGGCATCTCCTCAAGTAAGGTAAGTAATTACATGCCTTACAAACAATAAATAGGAAAAAGAGTCGGGGATCATGCAGGGGATTCAAATACGACACATCAATTTTTAAATAATTCTCACGCCGTCACATTCAATGCAATGCACAAGATGTCAATGCAACCGCACATCACACCATACCCTCACATAATTACACATCCCATCCATACCATCGTGTATCCACACATCACTTCCACACTCTCACACATCCACATATCTCATCACACCCTCACCTCTCTTATACCCATCAATACCCTCATGCCATGCATATAAAATATTTTAATTTCAACCATTCAATTCTCATCATGCATTCATTATACAATAAGCAATTTCATAATCACAACAAGATAATTTAACAACTTTAGCATGCTTCCACATACATCAAAATGACTATACAAAGAGTAATAGAGATAATCCACCACATAGTCACTTTATAGCATGTCAATTGAAATTCATACACAAGATAAACAATTAATTCCATCAAACACATCAATTGGACAAAGCTTATGCATCAACCAAAACTCTAAAATTTTCATTATTCAATTAATATCAAATTGGCATGCCAAAGGAGGGGAAAAACATCTAATTAGCTACCAATTCCAAAGAAATCGACAATTAAATGAACTTTATCTCAAATAGAAGAAAAGCCCCAAATTTGAAATCCTTAGCCCCTTGCAATATTGGCCACAAATTAAAGCTCTTGCTAAGTTCTCCAACTTCCCTTCTTGCTCATGCTCAAAATCTCACCTTAACCTCTCCAAAAACAAGCTTGAAGCAATGAAAGTATATATGTGTATAAGATGTAGATAAAAAATGAGAGAGAAGCTAGAAAGGGAGAGAGTGATACACGAAATGGGGGAGGAGGAAGTGAGGGCTTGGTTTTCAATTTGGATGAAAGGCTCTTATTGAGCCAAGTGTCACTCACCTATGGATTACTAATTTTTGTACAGTTACCAACATGCCCTCATTCATCCACCATAATGCCAACCTTGTTCCCAAAATATCTCCCTATATATATAGCTACACAAATATATATACATATGCATATGAAATGTCTACAATGCCCCTTAGTGGAAATGACCAAATCGGGTAAAGTCCCCGAGTCCGAAAATCGTTCCGACTTTTTAAAAATTCTAAAAATGATACTATCACTTCTAATTGACTTAAAGTTGATTAAAAAAATAAATTTCCAAAACCCTCGGCTCAATGAATGATCAAAACGCCCATCGGGCCCGAGTAGCACGCAAAATGAGGTAAGGATTAAAATAATCCAAAAAAATCAAATAAATTTCCGAAAATAGAAAATAAAAAAAATTGGTAACATTACAGGCGGTATTGGGTGGGGGTGGCTATGGTGGGATGTCTGAGTAGATAGAAGAAGTTTAAAGATTATGTTGATTAGGGTAGTTTGATCATTAAAATATTACGTATTTAAAATTTTAAATAAGTTAATATTTTGAATTAAAATACATTATTTTAATTTGGGCAAATAAGACATCTCATGTAAGTTAAAGCTGTGTTGGGATCTATTTTGTAAAATATGATGTAACTGTCAGAAGTGTTTTAAATTATAGATAGTTTGTCTTTAACGTAAACTCAGTGCAATTTACTTAAAAAGAATTATACAACTACCAGTGTCTCTTCTCTATTGGGATTGAGCCACCTCAGTTTGGAGGATAAAATTCTAGGGGACCCAAATATTACACTACATAGAAACTAAAACTAAGATTTAGCCTCCTGTCATTCCCAAATACCAAATAATACAAGAGTAGCACGTACACCACATCACCTCACATCTCTGCCCACTCTTAAAATGGATTTGATAAGTAATAATGAGACTTCAACTCCTTATGTATACATCTCGACCTGACTAGAGGGCCAGGATACATTCTAATCCATCATTAAATTTTACTCTCTAGATTTCTCCACCTAAATATCTATGTATTTACAAGCTTTACTAAATTTTCTATTCTTCTAAAATTCTCTTCAATCTAGCCATGTACACAGTTATATTACTTTCACTTTCTAAAATTATTTTCTTTCTAAGCAAATGGAGTCCAAAGGGTTTCTAAAATGATGTCAAAAATTTCTTAATAATCACCACCAACTTCTACTTTTCTCATTAAAAGAAAAATTTAGATTCAAACTTTAATTTCTACACTTACAAAATTAGATATAAAAAGTAAAGATAGCATCTTATTGACACTTATTTTTTTTTTTTAATAGAATATTTAATTTAATGGAGGTCAAGCTCATTGTGAATTCTACACAATATTTGTTGAATTGAACTTAAATTAATTAACTTTATTTAAAACTCATAACGCAATCTTCATCAATTAACTAAAAGTTAAAGGAATAAACAAAACATTAGATTAGATATCAATTTTTGAATAAATTTATAATTACAAATTTTTACTTTAGCTTGTCTTCTTTGTGGGAAGATTTGAGAGCTAGACTTTTCTTCTGCATGAGAGACATGGCTTAATGGATCGACATTTTGACACGAAGAAGCCACCAAAAAGGATTCTACTCTAATCTCTATGGACCTCAGGATCTGGAAAAACTCTAATAGCACAAGCTGTTGCGAATGAAACTGGTGCTTTCTTCTTCTTTTGCAATTTTTTTTTTTTTATTTCATTAATTTCTAAATACGTATATACTCTATTTAGACATTTGCTAATTAAAATTTATTGGTTCTAAAGCAAATTTAAAGGAATTATATGTCTTTTAATGAAAAAAAATAAAAAAAACTAGAATTTAAGAAAATTCTTTCAAATTTCTTTGGTGCTAGTCGAAAAGAAAGGGAGGAAACCAAAAAAAAAAAAAAATATGTGGACCCCAAGTAAAATTATTTAAATATCTTATGTATTTGATCCTTTTTTGGTCATTCCACGAATAAAAATTAATTAATTAATTAATTTAAACACCCAATCAATGGGGTGGGCTAATCTATTTTGAGGTGGCATGTGGTAAGACCACGGAAAACAATTGCACATAAAAAAAAAAAAAAATCCCCATTTAATTTTATGCATGTTTAGGTCATTGTGAATTCTAGACAATATTTATTGAATTGAATTTTAATTAATTAATTTTTTAAAACTCATAGTGCAATAGTCATTAATTAATTAAAACTTAAAGGAATAAACAAAACATTAGATTATATATCAATTTATGAATAAACTTATAATTACAAAAATTTTACTTTCAATTAGCAAAAGTATAAATAGAATATTTACTGATTTAGAAACTTAAATAGAAAAGAAAATTCAAAACTAAAATTTTATTATTGAAAAAAAGGTATGTAAAAAATAAAAAATACAATCATACACACACAAGTGTGTGTGTGTATATATATATTAGGGTTAATTTCATTGACACTCCATTAGATTTGACCAAATATCATATTGAAATATTTTTCGAAAATTATTATTACTCATATTACAAATGTTTACTCAAATTTTCACTTATATTCCAAAAGTTACTTTTCATATGTGTCATACCACTTTATACTTGTAAAATGATATTATTATCCTTTTGACTATGTATTAACTTACAAAAAAAAAAAGTTAAAATGACTTGAATACTATGTAAATTTAAAATTATATATATATATATATATACATATATATATATATACATATTGATATACTGATATAAAGTGATATACTTTTGTGGTGACTGAATGTTAAATTGTTAATTACAGTAGTGTATGTGTGTGTGTGTGTATATATATATATTCCAGGAAAACTTGAACCCAAATAAGATCAGATACGATTATAGAGGTCAGCCCAACATATTTGTCTAAAGCCCCAACCCAGTAATTAAAATGTTGGGTTATTAGGTCTGGGTCAGCTAAATGTTTTTTGCCTTCCCGCTCATTTTCAAATAAATATCATCAGATGGAACTAAAACAAAATGGGATTTGAAACTTACCACGTCATCGATCCGTGTGGTTTCAGAGCGTCATCTCCACCGTTGGTAAGAATTCATCAACGGCTTAAACTATTCCCATAACCAAAAGTGGAGGATCGAACCCTAATCAACCAAGCTCCAATCACACTATAAATAATTTCTCCATTTTCATCTTCTTAGCATCTAAATTGTTTTTACAGAAGGTGAGAAAACTTTACCCTAAATTGAAAATGTCGGGACGCGGAAAAGGAGGCAAAGGATTGGGAAAGGGAGGAGCGAAACGACACCGTAAGGTCCTCCGGGACAACATTCAGGGAATCACGAAGCCGGCGATCCGGAGGTTGGCTCGCAGAGGAGGTGTGAAGCGTATCAGCGGTCTGATCTACGAGGAGACTCGTGGTGTGCTCAAGATCTTCTTGGAAAATGTGATTCGTGATGCTGTGACCTACACTGAGCACGCTCGCCGGAAGACTGTGACAGCCATGGATGTTGTTTATGCTCTGAAGAGGCAGGGGAGGACTCTTTATGGGTTTGGTGGTTAGGGTTGAGTCTGATCGATGTTTTGTTATTTGGGTTTAGGGGTTGGTTTTGCAGCTCTGTACATGTAATTTCTGGGTTCTGTTGTAGTAGTTCTCTTGTTTTCTTCTTCGTATAAGTTGTTAGAACTTAGAAGTCTAGCTTTGAAATTCAATATATGAAGGATTTGCTTTTCTGTCACTTCTATTTTGCTTTGATTTTTGTTTTTTTATTCATATTCTGTTTTGTGCTTAATCGCATTTCGTTTTGTTAGTTTGGGTCATGGTGGAGGACTTCCCTTCTGCTTTCTGATGTAATGACCAAGTTAAGTTACAATTGGAGATGAATTTTGAATTTAGACCCAGTTTAATTGGAAAGAAATGGAAGAAAAAAAAAAAAAAATAGAGGTATATATATATATATTTGGGGTAAGTGCAAAAAGAAGTATACTTTTCATAACATTTTTATTTTTTATTTAAAAGAATGCAAAAAACACTTATTTTTTTTTTGATTTGTACGAAAACATCCTCAATTAATAACGCTTATTTTACGTTTTTATTCTTTCAAAAATGTCCCCACCAAATCTTCCTCTTCACCCCAAAACCGTAACTACCAGGCAATGCCAATTCGTGAGATTGAAGCCTTCTTCATTACTGTCGGCGACCATAACAGGTCTTGATGCACCGGTGATGAACTGGGTTTCAAAGCTCCATGAAACTGTTCCAAGATTGAAGCTCTCACGAATTTACTTGGAACCAAACCCAAGCTACTAAAGCCAAACGGATAATTTGCCCCAGTTATCCATGGTCAGTCTTTTTGTTTTCCATCTTCTTTGTTGACATCCACCCAAATCGCGGTCGTCGGTTGCATAACCACTGCCTCCGTCCTCCTCCTTGGTGTCACAGGCCGATTGCGAATTTTGGGACTCAACTATCAAAAATTTTGGGTAGGTATTGGTGGGCCAAATTATGGCGATGGTAGTGGTGGTGATTATGGAGTAATCAAGCAAATACAATGGAATTGAAAACGTCGGCATCCAACAACCCATCTCTGAGCGCCGGCTGCCAATTCTTGAGTTTTCAGCCCCTCCCCACCACCGGAAAGGGTTTCACGCTCCCCCACGCACCGTCAATGCGCGTAAGGTTGCACCCACATGTGCAGCTTCATCTTCTTCCCCAAAAAACCGAGATTAAAGAAAACCCAGTAAGTAACTAATTCATTCTTAACTTCCAAATTAAAGAAAATCCAGTAAGTATGTTGCAATGTTCCAGATTTTCGAGGAAAATAGAGAATTGAAAAATGGCCAGACAAATTTTGGGAAGAGAAGAGATTGTTTTGTGTATATGAATGTGTCTAGAATTAAAATTAATTGATTTTATAAAGTTATTGGAGGTTGTTGAAAAAGAAAAACTAATATCCACGTTACTAGTGATAATTCTAAAGATGGGTTTGTGTTTGTGACGTTTTTGACCAACAAAAGAATATTTCATCGGTCCTCTGTTCTGCTGGTTTTTTTTTTTTTTTTTTGGCAACAAAACAACCAACCACCAAAACCTAACTCCCAACATCCTCCAGAGCACGGCGCACAACTGACGAAGGAAGAAACGATAACACTTAATTCCATTCTAGGATCCCAGCACCAAGAAATATGCTGGGAAAGTCAACCAAGGCAGGGGCGGCCACACCGAAGATGAAACCTCCGTCAACAGGGTCCTTTGCAACTCTCAAAATATTAGTCTTTAGCTACCTTTTTAGTCATTTCACAAAACATTAATTTTTTTTATTTATATTATTAAATGTGTAGCTAAGGGCATTTTAGTCATAAATGTGTAAGACCACAAATATCACAGTGAGGTGTTTTTTTGCATCTTAAAGGTGCAATATGCACCATATAAAGCATAGAGGTGTTTTCTGAACTTGACCTTATATATTTTGTGTTTATTACAAAAAAAATTGAAAGGAAAAGAAAAGAAGTGGAAGGATTTCAAGGGAAATATTAAAGTTTTATTATTTAGTTTTGTTATCTACTTAAAAATGAGCAGAAATATTAAACATTAAACTATTTTAATACTAAATTTGTTCTTACCGTATTAAAGTAGTTTAGTTTTCATTTATATATATATATAATCTTTGATGAACCACACCATCTTTTTTTTTTTTTTTTTTTTTTCAATCTTTTCTTTCAATTTTTATTTCTCTTACACTGTACCAAACATTGCAAACATAAAGATCTCAAGGAAATGAAAAAAGAAGAAAAAAAAGCGATTTTTTTTTTTCTCCACACCGACCAATGGATATAATTCTAAAAGTGGCAGTTTAAGACTAAATCAAAAAAGTAAATCATGTAAATTCATTATCTTGTATTCTCAATTGAGTGTTTTGTTTGTCCAATGAAAATCAGAAACTGCTTTGTCATTTTTGAAAAATAAAGCAAATAATCTCAGATCAATTTTTGAAAAACTTGGGATAATCACCGCCAAATTTGCCTACAGCAACAATTTTCCAATACCCTATCGATCGACCCAAAACACAGGTACCTGAAACCTGTAAGAACTCAAAGCTCTATTTACCATATAAAAAACTAACAAGTCATTTTCACAATATTTCACTCTGCTAAACTGGTAACCTTCTAAAACGTTGGTCTTAAATTTTCAGTTTGGGAGCCTTGTTTCCGGGAAATTAAATCACAAAATCCAACAATGCCGTTAACTGACAACTGAATAACATTCCAGTGTCCCAATTCCGCACTAACATAAAATGGATCTGCCAAAAATTACGAGGAAGACCACAAGGTAAAAAAAAGAACCATTATGTCTTGCGATTCCTAGCATAGAAGTATTACAGATCTCTCTAAAGTAATCAATCCAATTAGATTTTTGAGGTCCGAACCAACCCTTACTTTGTTTTCAGGAGGATTAAAGGGAGGACCGGGAGGGAGTTACCGTCAACTCAAACCACAAGGGCTTTATGAATAGCAAGCTTCTCCAACGTCAATCCTTCAATTTAATCCTCACTCTGTCTTGCGTTTGGAAGGTTTTCTTGCAGCAGGTGTCTGCAATCCTCTTGTACATCGACCCACCAACTTGAGAATCTCATCAATTAATATCACGGGCAAAGCTACAGCCAACACCAAGAGCCATTCATTTAGGCTAAGAGGAACAATGCCGAATACTTGAGCTAGGACAGGCACATAAAGGATCAAGAAATGCAAGCCAAACGAGATAGACATAGCCAAAAGGAGCCAAGGGTTGACCCATGGGGGCATTGACACGAGGCTACCATCTTCAGAGAGAGCATTAAGAGAATTGAACATCTCGATGGCAACCAATACAGAGAGGGAGAGGGTCATTGCTTTTATCTTGCCCGTCTGGAAGTAGTCACATGGATCCTCATTAAAAGTGTAAGTTTTAGATCCCGCTGTGAAAGGTGAAACTGAGAAACCCTCCCAAGAACGGCACTGAGCCCAATTGGAAAGCTGGGAATAAGTGACAAGGGTGTGACCATCTCCACTTAGGTCAATGCCAAGGAAAGAGTTTTGCGTGTACCAAATGATGAAGATTCCCACAGTTGCTACCCCAACATACAGTCCAATCACCTGCAGCAAAATTGGAAGGAAAACAAAAAGAAAACAGAAAATTATACAACTTAATTCAGGTATCCAAGGATGCCATCTTTTACAAGGAGAGAGAGTTAATTGTTAGAATACCAGATAGCGGAATAAAATCCAAGCAGTGATCAAAGAGTCGTCACTTCTTCGAGGGGGTTTCTTCATTATATCCTTGTCTGGTGGATTGAATCCCAAAGCTGTTGCTGGGGGTCCATCAGTAACAAGATTGACCCACAAAAGCTGAACAGGAATCAGGCCTTCTGGAATACCTAAAGCGGCAGTCAGAAATATACAGGCAACCTCGCCAATATTTGACGAAATCATGTACCTGTAATAATAGAGAGGGAAAAAATACCATCAGTGTTGTAGTTTTGGTAATGTTTTTTTATTTTATTTTATTTTTTTATGTGTGCAATGTTGTTCTAGACATTAAATCACTAGCCTCAACATCATACAAACTCAAAAATTCATGATAAACACTACAAAAAAATATAGTAAGTATATTAATATCAATAAATCATCTTGTTCATCATTGCAACTTGGAGCACAACAAATCCTCAACCAAAAAACAATCCATCATATTCTAAACAATCCACCAACTTGTTTATTGTTGTAGTATTGTTGTAGTATTGTTCCGTCTTTCTGAACACTACTACTAAGTGCAGGGCTGGGGTGACAAAAAGGTAAAATTTCAGTTGGTAACTACACTCCCAATAATTCAAGTCGTGTTGGCAATTTCCTACTCAACATGAGTTATAACATGTCAAATGTGTCTTGAGTTGTTCCATACAATTGCTGAAGACAAGGGAGACCTAAAATTGTGAAGAACCAAGGCAATAAATCAGCCTTCTCAATCGCATATCTTGGCAATTGGCTTTAGAAATACCTAAATTGACATAGTTTGATCTTGGTGAGGCTCACAATTTTATCCTAAATATGTGTTTGAAAAATGGCTTCTCAAAGTTGGAGGTTTTTACCAATTTTCATAGCTGCGTTATCATTGAACTGCAGAAGGCATCAATCGAATGGTTGGTTGATTGACCTAGCAATTTCCCGAGAGGATTGATTGAATGGGCGATCGATTGTCGAAGTAGTTCCTAATAAAATTTATCGATAGGTCGACTGATTGATCGAACGTGACAGACATACATTTTTGGAAATCCACTCAAAACACAGATTTACAGGGATTCTACTAAATAAAACGTGTGGAGTACATATATTGGCTATAAATATGGGTTAGTCCATCTAGGTATGATTTTGAAGTCTCTAATCACCTAGAGAGAGAAAATCCTTGCGAGAGTAGAATTCCCAATCACACAATCTAGAATTTCATTGATACCACCATATGTGATCAAGTGATCGTCAATGACAAATTCCACAATCCTACCGAAATCGGTTACCAATCACAGTTTCGAGCAGAAGGTGGACAATCACTAGAGAAGCGTATTTGTGAGCAGCGAAGTCTGCTAATGAACGGATGGACAACCTAAAGACTTTGAGTGCCAAGTTCGTAACAGGTTGTGTCAAGTGGCAACTAGCAGCTCTAGAGTTTATGAATTGTCAACCTAATTGTAACTTCTTTCTCGTATAGTGGACTGTGCATGTCTAGACTAAGTTCCGTGATTTTTTCCCGATTGAGTTCTCCACGCAAAAATCTATTGGTCTCTACTCTACTATATTTTTTATTCATGCATGATTGTGAATCTGATGGATGTAAAACAGAATAGAAAAAGAAAACGTATAAACTATAATTTAAATTTTATTCATCAAAACTGACGAACAAAACTTTCAAACAAAGACCAATGATAATTCAAAAGTTCGTTGCAAATTAATACTCGTAAAAAACATATTCACCCCCCTTCCAGTTCTAAGTCAGCGTGAGTACTTTGACAAATCAGAGCCGAGGGGTTATATGGTCCTACAAACCACCGATTTTTTATTTTTTTTAAGCATAATAATCAATATCAAATTGTTTTTATTGTTGGAGCACAACAAATCCTAACATAAAAACACTCGAAATTAATATCAATTTCTCAGCCAAAGGAAGTGTGCCAAGACATATCAAGTAACGCAGCAAATATGTGAAACCATGACTACAGTAATAGCACATCTGCAAATGGTTAACATCTAAAAATAAACAAAAATAAAATACAATAAAAACTTTACACGCAAGGACATCCATACTGCATGTTGAACAACCTATTATAACCAAGCAAAAAGGAAATAAGGATTTAGCACACCATAGACATAAACTTACAAAGACATCCATCTACTCATTCAAGCCATATGAGCATTTTAAAAATTGAGAAAGTTGAATAAAAAATATCCTAAAGAGGCAGCAATTAAATGCAAGCAAAGTCATCAGAAGTCAAGAAAAGCTACCTGCTCCTGCAGAATAAACAGGACGAACTCAACTTTTTCCCATCCCCTTCAGATTTTCTCTTTAGAAAGAAACCGATCAAAAAGAGAGATGTTCAGACTAGATATGGGACCCTCACACTATGATCATCAATTTCCATGTACAACAGCTTGGAGACTAGCAAAGTTTGGGAACAACTTTGGTGTGTGCTTTAAATAATGTCAACAAAAATGTAAGTACGATTTTCTACCAAGTCCAATCATGCAGGCATTAAAGATGGTAGCATGTCAAATTATCTAGAGATTTTATCCATTGATTACTATTGAATATTCTAGAATTTATGAACTGAAAATATTTTAAAGCTAACCAATGTTCTGAGAATATATAAAACCATATCGGCTAGATTTTATAGTATAAAGATGATCTGGTGGGATGGAAGGTGATTTGCACTTTGGAGAACATTGGAGGTTTTGGAATCTATCTGTTGATTCCAAGACCAGAGCCACATATAGCAAAATAGTCACTGTGGAAGTGGTAGAAAAGGAAGTTGTGGATGAAGCTCTTGATATGAAATTCTAGGAATAAGGGTCAAGAATGGCATCGTAAAGAAGTGGATCGTACGGGATTACCACATGGAGAAAAACAAGAGATTTTCAATAAGTTATGTTCCTTGAGCATGGACACTGGACTAGAATTCTCACGGCATGAGTGGTGTCAGGATGATGATTTGAAACCCCAGCTCCCAGATCTACGAATTGTCCAGGATCACAATGCGCTGCTGGTAAATCAAGTGTGACGGGAAGTGTGGGGTTACTGACCACAGTTGTCCTATGCTAGTCAGTTTTACATTTCCAGGAAATTTTTTTTGAATGAATCACACAGAATTTGTTGCCTTGAAGGGAGACTTAGCATTAAGTTCCCATAAATAACTTTGGGAAGCTAATGATGAAGCACAAATGTTGGGGAATGAATACCTTTCTAATAGCTGTGACACTAAAGTTCGAATGAGGGGGCATTGTTAAAGTAATAATAGGTCTTCGTACAATTGATTTCATGGTGACCGCATAAAGGAAAATTGTAAATCTAGTGTTTATTATGACAAAGAAGGGTTGTAGGATTTACTGAGAGGAAGGGTTGAGATTGGTAAGGTTTTGGAGATTGTTATTTGGTTACAATAAGTTGAAGGGTTGCAGATTATTAGGCTTGGATGGGCAGAGTTTATCGAAAATGTAAAGATCATAGGGGCTGTCCGCTGCAAACTGTAACGAGTGAACAATACTGTTGGTCTTCGCGGTTTCCTTTGGCTGATAGGGTTAATTTATAAAAGAAGGATAGGGCTAGTTGAAGTAGGATATTAGGGCTAGAAATTCCATTTATTGATGTCTAATTGCAGGTCTAGAAGTATAGTAAATATAAAGAAAGAATGATAAGAGAAATAGACGAACGATACTTGGATTCCCAAAGACATCACGCCTATGGTTAGAATTACCACCACATAATCCCAAGAAAACTACAAAATTTCTGAAACTAAAAACTGATCTCAAGTCTCAACTTAATAAGAGTACATGGATTAAAAAGGCCGCAGGACTCGTCCCTTTCCCAATAACATGAGTTGACCCCACAGAGCCAAATGCATCCTATGACCAGCAAAACTTATGTTACCAAAATATCTGACTCCTAAAACTGAACATAACATAAATAAAATGAAAAAAAAAAGGTGGTAAACTAGACTAAAAAAAAGCATTAGATAACACCTAAGAAGCACGGACACGGATACGGGACACGGATACGACACGACACCGACACGGAGACACGGCAAATCCAAAAAAATTAGGACACGGACACGGCGAATAGTGTATATATATATATATATATATATATATATATATATATATGATGTAGTACTTTAAAAATTACTGAGTGTTACTATTTTTCATCAACCTCATAATGAAAAAAAAACACAAATCATATCTCATAACTAATAAACTATAAAAGAACAATGTTGCAGAATTATAAAACCAAATAGAAAATAAGACATTAGAATAATAACTAGTATCATTTAATCATCATTGCAACTTTACTCCAAATACCAAAGCATAGACAGAAAGGACTATTAACATTCATGACTTTACTGTTAGCACTTAACATTCACAAAAACCTAAAGGCTAGTCCCCAAAAAAGATACAAAAACAAGTCAGTGTACTATCATCCATTCCCATCCATCATTTGACCTAGGACTTTTACCATTTACAATACCAAAAGGGTAGCACAAAACAAAATAAAGAACATATCAGCATTCACAAAAAAAAAAAAAAAATTCCAGAAGTGTCCATGCCGTGTCCGCGGATTGTCCATGCCGTGTTCGAGCCGTGTCCGAAAATTAAAAAAAAATAAAAAATTCCAGACACGTTTTTTGGCGTGTCGGACACGGATTCTTCGCCCATTTTGGAGTGTCCGTGCTTCCTAGGATAACACCCAACACGACCTAAAACACGACTCCACGAAATCCCAAGTGGATCTCACATTGAAATGAAACGAACTTCTAAATATTTCCTTCGTTAAGTTTTACTCTTTCTTAAGTGGACTACAAGTCTACAGCAGTTAGTTTTAAGGTTGGCGGTCTTTTCACTTCAGGTAGCTTTCCTTGCCAGGAGTATAGCTCCTCACTGACTTTTGAATTGCATAATCTAGCTAATATAGAACGGCATATTCCAATAATACATGTTGTATATTTATAAGAGATTCTAGAGTGAACTACCTTGTATTTTAGGCCAACAAGTGGTATGCTATCTTAATTCCCATGCAAGGTAGTTTTGGTCACATGAATGTCTTTTGGCTGATCCTTTTATAAAAGTTAGTAGATGAGTCAGCGCCTGGGTGTCATCAACTTGTTGGGTACATAGCTCCACTTGTATTTTCTTGGTTTGTTAAAAGAAGCATGGCGGAATAGTATTCGAGAATCCTTAACTCTTTAAGTAGACATGTATCATTGTTTGATCTTGCTATCATCATCATCATCCTTATCTTAATCCCAGGTCAGCCAATTGTTTGATCTTGTTATGTGGGACTCTAATTTTTGTGCACTTCAACAGTTCCATCTTCAAATTTTGTAGAATTTTATTTTCCTTGTCAAGTGCCACTTTGTATTGCTCTTGAATGCATGGATCTTAACTTCTTTCCCCCTTTGAAATATTTCCTTAAATTACAGTTAGAAAAAAAAAAAAAAAAAAAAAAACTCTCAAAGAGTCTTGAACCGATTTTCTCTCATTTTATCTCCAATTGGTGTTACTACAACCATCTCACAATTGTGTTCATTTCTAATTCTATCATTTCTTGTCTTGCCGCACATCCATCTCATACTCATCCAGACTTGCTTCTTCCTTTCTTGAAATAAAATATTAAAAAATCTCTGTTGTAATTAGTATCCATGTTTTTGTAAAAAACACAATCCGCAGCTTGTGGTTTAATAAACCAAAATAAGAACAAATACTAACAATCAAGCCCCCACTGCAGAGTCGCAAACAGAGAGAATGAAGAGATACGGACAGCAAATTTGAATTACCACCATCAACCCTACTGCTAAAAGCAGAAAATATAGAGAAGGAAGATAAACTGACCTGATAAATGCCTTCATATTGTTATAAATGGATCTGCCTTCACCCACAGCAGCAACAATCGTGCTAAAATTATCATCTGCTAAAACCATATCAGAAGCTTCCTTCGCAACCTGGAACATGAGCACACAATAAAATAAGTGACAAGACAATAAGAAAAAAATAAGAAAATACACCTACTGCTCTGTTTCAGTAAGTCGGAAGAGTGAGAGAAAGAAAAGGGGGATGAAAAAAGAGCGGATGAAGTGAGGTTTTTATGAACCATTTGTAATATAAGGGCAAAATGCACTGAGAGCTCCTTTAGCAAGGAAGGAAAATGGAAAGAAGGAGGAGAAGGGAGCGGGATGGAGTGATCTTCATTAATTGGTAAGAAGGGGAAAGGGAAAGGAGACCTAAACCCTAACCCTAAAGGAGGAGAATAGCTTCCCTCTGGGTCCACCATTTGTTTTCCATCCAAAAGTGGACAGGAAGCACGAGGGGAAGAAAGCAACTTTCCATTATATTTTTTTACCCTTCAAATAAATTTTTGCCCTTATTACAACACACCATTGCCTTAACATGTAGAACATAGTTAAAAATTAAGTAACACCATTTCATCGTTCCTTTCCTTTTCTTTCCCTCTAGCTCCACCAAACAAAGGGGGAGCCATTTTTGTTTCATTAAGATAAACATTTCAACCTCCATTACCTTCCTTTTGTCAATATAATGCAAGAGACAGATATGCAGTTCAAGGTGAGGATTTTTAGATGGTAAGAGAAGGGCTAAAAAAAATAACCATGGGTACACCACCAAAGGCTGTAGCCTTGTGGAGGCTTCAAGTCCCCATGGGGGCAAGTAATAAAGTTCAAGTTCAGGAAGCAGTGTCGGTTTTTAATAGTGAGAAAAGACCTCTTGAATTGTGACTTGGGCAAAAATTATCAACCCACACAGTATAATGGCAGAACAAGATTTAAGAATATACCCCGCATTGAACGAACACAAAAAGCTAACGCCTCTGAGATTTTAAAACTTTCACATATATGAATACACCAAGATTAGCAAACAGGCTTAGTGCTTATGCAATGATGATTCTAATAAAGGTGATACAGAACACATAAAAGGGCAAAACGATGGGAATGCAGTCATGCACCAAATTGGCGTGTCAAATGCAGCTAAGCTGGAAAGTTCTTCACAATAAACAAAGTCTAGTAGTATGACGATATGGTAAATAGAAATTTTCTACGATAACAACCAATAAAAACAAACATAAAGAGTAGATCATTCATTTTGTTTTAATGGTATAAACTCTATACACCATCTTTATATCAAGATGGAAGTCCACAACAAAAAACCGAAAGGGAAAGAAGTACCTCAGTGCCAGCAATGCCCATTGCAATTCCAATATCAGCCAATTTCAAGGCAGGTGCATCATTTACTCCATCGCCGGTCATTGCAACCACTTCACCTTCTTCTTTAAGCAACCTCACTATCTCTTGTTTATGCCTTGGTTCAGCTCTAGAGAAAAGTAACCCTCCATCTTGATTTAAATGATCTTTTTGGTTATGGTGATCCATAAACTGTCTTCCTGTCAAGCTTTTTGTTGTGATGTCCTCGTGTGACCCAAATACGCCTATTTCACGACAAATAGCTTCAGCTGTATTCTTGTTATCTCCTGTAATAACCATAACTCGAATGCCAGCTGCTCTGCAATCCTCAATTGCTTGGCGAACCTCCTTCCGAGGAGGGTCCTTTGACAATACGCAACAAAGTTATACACTTTTATGGAATATTCTTAATTTTCATATGAAGCAGCGAAACTAATTGAATGAGGACAATGTCATGAACAATAAAATGCAAGGTTCCAACTTACCCTTAGCCCAGCCAAGCCAACAAATATGAGTTCACTCTCAATTGAAGAATAGTTAGATGGATTCAATAGAAGATTATGAGCAGGATGTTCTTCATCGCCATTGTATGTGGCAAACTCAGGAAGGTCCAACTTGTATGCAAAACCTAAGCAACGTAATGCACTTGAGGACATCTCTTTAAGGCTTAGTAAGATAGCCTCCCTTGATGTTTGTTCCAGTTCTACAAAAGAACCATCAGACAATTGGACAAATGAACTTCTTTCCAACAAATTCTCCACTGCCCCCTGCCATAATGTAGAACCAAAAATATAAGTATTGACTACCTTTAAAAACCAGAAAGGAAAAGGCAAAACTGGTGGAAGATATAGAACGAATTGACAGGATGTAAATTAACCTGAACACACAGAATTTTCATCAAACAACGAAATTTTTGTTAATAGAGAGAAGGACAAATTATATTAAAACTCCAAATCTAGTCATTAAGGTAAACAATTCATGAGTTCATAAATAAAGATGTTGATAAAATTACCCATAAGGCCATTTATATATTTCAGGATTGAATCTTTTAGAGGAAGTGAATGTGAGAAATTAGGTGATTAGCACTCACACTTCATCTATGCTATATGGAATCTTAACAGTGCGTGAAATACTCCTTCCTATAACATGGCAATGAGAAATGTGTCTTGACACATTTAGTTGAACAAGCACCTATTAAGCATATCCAATGATTCAAATTTATTATAATAACTGACCATAAATTCTCTTATTAGGTTCTTTTTGTTAAATTAATGTTTCAAAACAAATGCCTATATTGAACACTCTATGTTACAATAAAAGAATATTCACTCCAATAAAATAAAAGAACATCAAATAATATAAATATTTAGAAGTCCCTGTATTTGGGTAGGTATTTGACAAAGCCGACACCTAGGCATGAATCCGCAGACCAACATACATACTCGATTCATGTACCATGGACTTCATGGAGGCAATCAATTCCAAGGAAGCTTTTATAAAATGCAATCTGGAAGACAATCGAAACCAAGTGCATATCATATAAAGAATAAAACCAAACACCTACTTTAAGTGCCAACTAATAGAGTGATAGAACAGTATTTTGATATGTACTCTGATTATGTACAGTGAATATATGTTGAACCAAAATGGCAAAGAAAATTAAAAAAGAAGCTATAATTACCCAAGGATAAATTCAAAAAGGAAAGAAAGAAAAAATCAAATAAATCAAAAAACAACCAATACAATAATTAGAATAATTAACTATAATGTCACACTACCACAAAACTAATGTCTAAATTTGATCATACTTCTTCAACACAATCTAAAAAGTGGTGATGTATTCCAGGCTTACAGGAGTGACTTTATTTCTTTAATATTACTTGCAGGCTTAGATTGTTGTTCTTACAATTATACAGCAATAAAGGTCCAGACTATCTAAAAAGACTATTCTCGTACACCCATATAAGAGCTAAATAATGGTGTATTCCCAGATTAATACAGAAGCTGCAAAAACCAAAGCGAGATACCCTGGTCCACAACTCCTACGTCCAGTTCTTCTTCAAGCACCCAACATCCACACCCTTCCTCATTCATTTCCAGAACAAAAGCCTCAAAATCTATTGGAGGAACAGGAAACATAAAGTAAACGACAGGGAACCACTGCATGACATTGTTTGATTGCACAAGAAACACTGATCACCGGATGGAGAAATCTTAAAAAATGAAAAGATTATATTTCTAATATGTGACTTCCTACAATATATTACACATAGACACAAACACACACACACAAAATTCAGAGAAGGCGTGAAAGGAGTTAAAGATGCACCTTCACAAGCAATGTTTTTCTGCCTGAGCTGGAATTCGCAATGACACCCATTGATTTCCTATCACGGTCGAACTCAAGAGTGGCAATCCGGCGTTCAAGTTTATTCCAAGTTTGACAACAACCTTAAATGCACGGAAAAAGAAAAAAAAAATGTTACATGCCAAAATCAAAGCAAAAAATTATGAGTAAACAACATAGACATAAGGAATAGTTGCGACTTACGAAGTGCATCACCATAACCTGAAGATGCACCAGAATCCAATCCATCAGGAAGTCCCATTTTTTCGACCAGAACCTAAAAAAACCAAACCAACACAAAAAAGGAAGAAACTTTCTTCAGCTCAACATCATTTAACTTCAGCAAATTTTCCAATTAAAAAAGAATCCCCATTGTAGCACACTCCAGATCAATTATGTTAGAACTATACTGTACATATGACAAAATAGTGGAGAAAATACTAGATAAGAAAAATAAGAGGACATCACCACCAACACTGATGAACCTTAATTTTGGCTCTCCTGATGTCCAAGGAGCAGAAATCTAATTATGAGCTCTAAACTTTTACAATTCAATCAGTATAAAGTCTCTCCTTTGAATCATGTCACAGCTCAAGAAGCCAAAAGATTGCATTTCTATTATTACTATATAGAACACAAGGACAGGGTCCTGAATCAGAATACAAAAAATTATATAATCTTACCTTCAATGCTGCCTCTGTAGGCATTCCACTGGCGACATAATGATTCCCAGATTGTTCGATGCCTGCATCATTGCATACAGCAGCAATCTTGGCAATCATTTGAAGATTAGCATCCATTTGACCTACTGGCCAATCTTTTATTTTTCCATCAAAAGGGCTATATGTGGTCCCTTCCACATTGAAGGTTCGAACAATATTTGGCCTGGGTCCCATGGCCACAAGCTTCGCTGCCGCCATCTGATTGGTAGTTAAAGTACCAGTTTTGTCAGAACAAATCACTGTTGTACAACCAAGGGTCTCCACACTAGGCAACTTCCTAACAAGTGCATTCTTTTGAGCCATCTTTCGCGTGCCAAGTGCCAAGCATGTTGTAATAACTGCCGGCAAACCTTCTGGAATGGCGGCCACTGCCAATGCAACAGCAATCTCAAAGTAATATGTGCACTTCTCGAATGAGAACTTAAAGTTCGATGGCCACCCATCTACATACTCCCAAGTCAAAAAGTATTTCACATTTATAAGCCAAACCAGTGCACAAATCACGCCAATAATCATCGTGAGAACCTCTCCAAATTCATTTAACTTTTTCTTCAATGGCGTATCTTCCTCACTCTGTGATGCCTCATGAATCTGCAAATGCACTTTCCCTATCTCTGTATCCATTCCTGTCTGAGTAACCAAGGAAATACAGTTTCCATTCACAACTGTTGTTCCTGCAAACACCATGCATTTCTTTCCCTGTATTTCTGAATCTTCCGGAACGGGCTTCGTCGTCTTACTAACCGCTTCACTCTCTCCAGTCAATGACCCCTGCTCAAGCCGAAGGGTCGAGCTAATCAAATTCAGAACCCTCATGTCAGCAGGCACTTTGTCCCCAACCCGAAGCTCAACAATATCACCAGGAACAAGTTCTTTTGCAGGCAAATTTGAAACCTTTTTGCCATTGCGAATCACAGTTGCCTGCTCTGATTGAATTTCTTTAAGAGCCTCCAATGCTTTCTCAGCGTTGTTCTCTTGCCAAACCCCAACAATCGCGTTCACAATCAATATCAAGAAAATAACCAAAGGCTCAACAAATGCTGTTATCTCCATCTCTCCGCCTTCATCGCCATCATACCAAGCAAGCACAAAAGAGATCACAGCCGCAGCAAGTAAAATCCTCACAAGAGTATCATTGAACTGATCCAAAATCAATCTCAAAATCGACTGACCTTCGTGCTTCTCCAACTCGTTCAAACCATAGATCTGCAGCCGCTTCTCAACTTCATCATCGGACAATCCGCAGTCCCGCTTTACCTGAAACTTCTCTTCGCATTCCCAAACATCTTTCGCCCACGCGGCAAAGCCTTCTTGGTTCGTTGATGACTTAGTCCCTACAGTCTCCTTCTTTCCATAATTTTCCCCACCTTTCCCCATTTACACTCAACAACAATCCCAAACACTATCTTCAAAACAAGCAAAGACACGATCGATAAAAATCAGATAATTTCGCCTGAAAAAGATGAATCACGACATATAAATCTCTGCAGATTATTCATATACATAAAAACCCTAACCCTAATAACAAATCTGACAATAGAAAGATCTAAAAGAATCAAGAAATTTTCAAATAAATTATTCAATATATTTGCATTTCTATACACACATAAATCGATACATGTACTGTGCATAAATATATATATCTGTATGCACGAAAATGAAATGAAATGCAGTTATTAGGGTTTGGATTACCAGAATGCTGGAGTTGACGTACACACTGTCTTCAGCGGCTGGGTTTTGTTTTCTCTCTCTAGAAATAATCGGAAAGGCAGATCCTTGCTCTTGTTATACGACAACAAGAGCGCTTCAATCGCTATTCCCAACAGTGCCTTCCGCGCACCTTCCCTCCCCCTTTTATTCTCTCTCTATAGAATAGTATATCGTAACTATTTGTTGACCTCGCTACAGCAATTTAACAAATCGTTCTGCAACATAAGCAGAGCCAGTAGATCTTCGCCACGTAATAAGGCGATGGTCATCGCATGATTGCGAACTTTTGGTAGGCTGCTTCGCTGACGTGGCAAATGACTATTGGTGTTTCTTATGTGGAAGAACTTATGTGTTTAACATTCAATCTAATTCTAAAGTCATGATAATTAGTAATTAATTTGGGGTACGAAGTTTCGAAGTGCTTGCCTTGCTATTAAAGAAATGTTATAGTGGTCTAAAAAGTTTCAGAGTTAACGGCATATTCTTTTCTTGGTACTTTAATTTGCGACCACCTTTTACTTTCTTGGCCTGTGGAATTCCATACAAGGAAAGGATCATGGTAGGCGTGAAATAATTGAATGGGATGAAAATTTTAAATATTAACTAATGTGAGGATCCAACTTTGCTAGGAAGCAACACCTTCCCTGAAAATTTTTTAACACGGTCAACAATAATATTTTGAATAAAAATTATATATCTGCTAACGTATTCCAAGATTATTAATTACCGTCATTCACCATTAAATATGAAAGAAAAAATTAATCAATGTTTACATATTTTCGACACAACAGTTTACATTTCCATTGGCTCGAAACCAAATTCGAATAATAATTTTTTGTAGTCCCAAATCATGTACTAATTTCTCCTATTTATGAAATTTCAAAATTTTTTTTTTTTTAATTAGACATGGCTACAGACACATATATGACATAAACACCTTTAATACTTTTAAATATGTGATTCATTGTTACAATTTTAAAATATATTATGCCTTAATTAAAAAAATAATATAAGTTAAAAAAAATAACAAACATCTGACTTTAAGATAAAAATTAGTTTTTACTCAAAAAAAAAAAAAAAAAAAACACGACAGCAAACATCTAGTTTAACCTACAAATTAATGATTTCATACCTCATAATATGGATAAAATGAGGGAAAATACTATATATATATATATTTAGATTTATCATATTGTCATCTCCATGTTATATGGGCGGCAGTGTACATGTTTGACATTGTTACAAATTAATAGTCGCTTTTCTTGTGTAAACCTCCAAAAAATGATTAATAATAAATCTCAATGTGTGGATGATCGAATGTTATTTTGGAATTTGGCATCTAACACTATTTATTAGTCAATGGACTTGATGTGTCCCGTGTACTAGACGATAATAGAAAATGGGACTTATATGGACAATAGTGGTTCAACTTGAAACTTCAAACTAGAACTTTGATGGGAATAATTGTAAATTGGTCAATGATTAGTCTTTTTAAGAGTTGGGCTTATTCTAAGAAGTCCGTTTAAGAAAATTCAACACACGCTCATTTGAAATTTGAAGCCCGTTTTGTGGACTGTGGTCCCAACCCACACTTGAAAGACACAAAAACCCCACATCTACAATTCTAGATCAATCTAGTCCAAGGAATATCTGGACTTCTCAACTCCTTCTAGAATTCTAGACCAATCTACTAAAATATGAAATGTACCACAATTAATACTTTCTGACAAATTATTGTTGTTTCATTGTCTGGACCTAGGGTTTTCATCTATTGAATTTACCAAAAGTTTTCTTGCTCAAAAAAATTGTCACCAAAAATTTAAAGTTACAGTTCTATGTATTGTTAAAAATTCACCATACTTCAAATCTCTGAGCATGAGTGAGTGAGAAGAAATTAGGCTTACTATCAAATCTAATTGAAGGAAATAAATTGCTTAGAAAAGTTATAATTTATATAAAAAAATGATTTTTTTTGGGGCTTTGACCATCTAACTCGTCTAAGGCTCCGATTTGACCAAGTATGGTGATGGTTGAATATGATTGTTATTTATTTATTTATTATAATTACTTTTTTTACACTTACTGGTGAGTAGGAGATCATTTCTCGTCATCCAATATGCGTGCGTGCATGTGTGTGTGTGTGTATGTGGATAAATTTCTATCTAATAATACTTTATTTGGTAAAAAGGAAGGAAGATGTGTGAAGGGGAGATGGGAACTTTTCGGTAGAGAGGAGACGGAAAAGAAAGGATAATCGAAGGGGTTAATCATCATTCTTTCTTTATAAATTTTCATCCCTCCAAATATAGATAGAAGAAAGAGCAAAAAAGTGCAGCATTATAGAAATTTTAAATTAGTATTATCTTAAATTTTACAAACACAGTAAATTACCACTATCCTAAATTAAAACTCTTTATTCAATTCTCTCCTAAGGATCACAATAAATTGTGTTCATTTACTTCTTTTTCATTCAACCAAATAAAAGGACGGAATGATACAATCTCTTCCATATGTATTTCTCTTTCATCACTTGTTACTTGTTATCTCCCTTCTGTCCAATCTTTTTACCCAAGAACATTTCTGCTTGGGTAACTATTATATTGCACAAGGTTTTTATTGGGTTGGTCTTAAATAAATTAACTATATTAACTAAATATTTTATGTAATTAGGTTGGGCTAATATTATACTACAAAAGGGCTGATATTTTATTGCTACCAAAGTTGGGCTAACTAAATACTTATGTATTTGAGTTGGCTAATATATTTGGGGGACGCATACGGGCTTATATAAATTTAAGGTTGATGGGATTTTTATTTGGTTGGGGGTTGGCCGGTTGGAGTAGATAACTAATATAATGTGATATGAGTTGGGGGCTAAAATAAACGGCATTAATTGTCTTATCTCTGAGTTCTTATACATGAAACATAATTAATTAATTAATTAATTAATATATATATATATATAATGAGATGTACGATCTCTTTTCCTTTTGAGAGTTTAGACTATTGTCTTAAATACCTTATGTTTGAGTCCTTAGTGGACCTTATCTAATAAAATTAATATACAATATATTAAAAAAAATTTAAAAAATAGGCAAAGCACTTGTACTATGTTAAATCGTATAAAATTGAAATCATAGAATTGAGGCTTGTCAATTTTCTGCAACCAATGTAGCATTAATTTTCTATATAAAGACAAATGCAATTGATTTTAGCGTTACTTTTGTTGTTCAATCTTATCCATATATATATATATATATATATATTTTAACTCTATTTTTCCTAAACATTAGAAGTACAACAAACTTTTCAATCCCAATATTGCCCCACACCATTTAATTAATCTACAAGTCATTGATTCATCACCCATTTGATAATAGTATCTTGAATGTTAAATTCCAATTTTGAAAAATGAAAGGAAGTAGTGGTAAATGGGAAACTTGCTCTCAGTTCGTTTCTATGCACATTTATTGTGTAAGTGGTTGAATGTTACAAATTACAATTATTTACACGTGTGAGTGATAAAGGTTGTCGAAACTCCTATAGAAGCCAAGTGTGTTTTTTAAATTCCAATTTGATTGTCACGTGCATCTCACGTGACTTAAAAGACATGTCAAAGTGCTTCCACATGATGCCAAATGATTGCACGCTTCACCCATAAAACCACAACATGACACTGTGAGTTCTAAACGCAACATTTCTCTTTGTCATTGCATTTTTTTCCCCTTAAATTCCATTCCAAGCTCACAACCCCCTGACCCACTCGCCGGAAACATGGCCTCAACGTGCATATCAAGCTGCGTCAAGGACGCCCGTGTCCCGGTCAGAGCCACCTACACCAATCTCTATAAGTGGCCGGAATCTGACGCCGAGTTCTTGAGGTCAGTGAGTGCTAACGGGCGCCGGAGTGGTAGTGGCCGTGATCACCCTAATGTGGTGGACAGTATCTCTTGCAGGCAATTCTATCTAAGGAGCTACACGTTCTCGAGGGAAGAGAGTGTGCCGGAAAAGCCCACCAAGTGGTTCGGCAGAACTAGAGAGAGAAAGAGGAAGGTGGTTGAAAGAAGAAAGAGAAAGTCTCGTGGTGGTGGTGGTGGTGGTGGTGGTAATAATGAAAGGAAGTGTGTGGTGTTCAGAAGGGCCAAGGAGGTGTCATGTGCCACCTTGTCATTGATCTTCCGCCGGTTACTATCTTGCACCGCCAAAGTTGATGTAGTTGGTTGATTAAATTATATGGAGGACTTTGAATTTGTTTTTGATCAGGTGGAGGAGTTGAATTTCTCTTTTTGGTTTTGAATTTTATTTATAAATGGTGTTTATTTCAATGCATGGTTTCATCTTCCCTAAACATATAATGTGTGCTTATCTATGTATAGAGGAACAGCTAATTAAGCGTTTTTTTTTTAATCAAATCTAATTTCCCTTGCTTTTTCATCTCACTAAATTAAAATTTAGAAACAATGAATTTGTAATTTTGCTTCTAGTGCTTCTGTGTTACTTCTCATTTCTCTCTCTTTATATATATATATATATATAATTTTATATAAGGAATAAATTACGTTCAGCACAAGTGCATATAAACCACCACCAATGCACACAGCAGTTTTAGAGGGGATTGTGTGCACTGTACACAATACAAAGTTCAAAATGAGTTCTGGGAAGTCTCATCACGGGATGGATGTGGTGTAATAGCTCACTCGTTAGGCATGTATTGCTTGTAGTCAAAGGTCCAGATTCAAATTATCATTCCATCAATTAGTTGCTTTAACTTAATAAAAAAATGAAGAAGCCTCAACACGGGCTCACATTGAGCTGTCCGTGGACCGAAAGAGTACGGTTTGGTGCCAAGACATCTTCAAACAATAGGGGATTGGCATGATTTCTATGCAGCTTCATGAGTTCGTCTGGACTGTAAAAATACTGATCATAGGATGATTTTAGCTGGTAAATGTGTCAGAGTTTTGTGCAACAATTAAAAAGTTGGGCCTACATATTGCAATAAATGGTATGGATTTTACAATATATGGTTATACAAATTGAGCGTGGCCCACTGCCAAATGGGTCAATGATACGACTTTCTCTTGTTGCCACCACCACCCAGAATAACATGATTCTATTGTCTGTATTTACTCAAAGGACCAAGGGACCCATTAAATGTTGCGTAATAGAGTGTGAGCTATGATGTACATTAGTGTCATATATATGTATATATTGACAGAACATTGGTGTTATAAGGCCAGGGGTTGTAGACTTGTAGTGGCTCTCTTGAAAGTAGAATTTATATATTCATAATGAATTAAAAGGTGGTTTTGACACTAATTTTATTTGTTTTTGCCATGATTTAATTTCTTTTGAAATTCCTATTTGATCAAAATGGTTTAGATCAAATAGTAATTTAAAATAAATAAATAAAGTTGTGGGCATATGAATCGTGATAGGGATTTAGGAAAGAGAGTGTGCATTGAGTGGCAAGTATGATGAATAATAGGAGAATGATGCCAGAAAAGAGGACCAAAGCCAAAAGGGTATGGACAAACCAGAAAAGATAATCATAGAGTTAATAAATTTGCAGTATTTATATGGAGCTTACAAAGCAAGTATTGTTGGTTTCATCGCCTATGAGTTAAAACATTAATGCTTTATTACTGTATCATGCCATTTGGTGGGTAATGTAATGCACTATGGCAGGGCACAGTATAATTAGCACTTAAGGCACGCAACCAATCATCATCCTAACCAAGGGCCAGCCCACCGGATATGCATCCCTAATCCTCACATACTATCATTAGCATCATAGCATTCCAGGCCGGAATGTATATATATATATATATATATATATATATATACACACACACATATATACACTCACTCTATGTTCAAAAACTATCACAAGAAATTGCAAGCTATAGTTGCCTCTTTTGTACATCTCTTACACAAGAAATAATTTCATAATAACATCAAAATTCAGCTATTTCATTGGTTCACATTCAACTGCTCGACCATAAGGTCTGGGCACTTGGCAGGGGCAACTCAACCATATAAGCAATCATAAGGCAGTCGCCTAAATCCCAACAGAAGAATGGTCATGTGTAGAATATAGTTACGGTGCATAAAGTTTCAATTTTCAATTTTTGTAAATAGGTCCTTTCTAACACATTTAAAGTAGAGTGTGACTTATATACACATTTTATATATTATTTAAAAATACATATTTTGTGAAATAACGAAAATAGACACGAAGTGAAATGGCGTCATTAAACACACGAGGAGTATGATGCGCACTCTAAGTATATGTAGGGGTGTTTTTTGCCCTTTATCCTAAAAATTATTATTGTTTTGAATTCAAATACCTATTTTTTGTTATGTAAAGAATTATATATATGTGTGTGTGTGTGTGAGAGAGAGAATTTATTGCAAACTGTAAGGTTTAAAAAATTAAATGTATATATTATATATATATAACAAATAAGTATCTTTAATTTAATTTTTTAATTACATATTTAATGAGAAATGATAATTATATTAAACTTTAATTAGGAATAATATATATTTTTTATAATTACAAAAGAATTGAAGTTTCCATTTCATGTGATATACTATCCATTAATCTGACAACTTTGATAATAAATATATATTTTTTGAGATGCTTTTTTTTTTTTTTTTCCCTCTATTTGACCGTAAAAGAAATACATATGTTATAACTTTCTAATATAAGAGTGGTATTAAATCCTAAGAAATGTATAACTCTGAACTCAAAGATATAATACATTGTTAAGGGAAATATATACAGAGAAATTATTTACTATTTATTTTTATAAAGGTGAGAGAAAAGCCAAAAGTAGATTAAATGTGCAAATAACACCCCTATATTATGATTTTATTAGCATACACACTACTAGATATTTTTAGAAAAGTAAAAAGGCAAAAGGATTTTCTCACAATGTTATAAGAATAAAGAGGTTATTAACACACTTTTTCAAATAAAAAATAAATATATTACGTATAGTATACGTTAAGTGTTTTTTGCGATTGACCCAGGTATCAATGTACATAGTTACATTCACATGAACTCTATGTTCATAAACTATCACAAAAAATTGCAAGCTATAATTGCCATTATCCATTATAAGTTGTTTCCTTTAAGAAAATCCCTCTTTTGTACTTCTCTTACACAATTTATACAATTTACCTTTAATTGATTAAAGTCAATATAACTACCGAAAACCCTTTTAATTAATGCAACTAAGTAACGAAATGAACTCGATTAAAATTTTCACATAAATAGAATAAAATTAATGAAATTAATCATAATCTTTTCTTTTGTCATTCTTTCGACATGATGGATGTTTCACACTATACTTGTCCATGGTTTGTATTTAGGTATTTTTTTTTTGTGAATGATTTGCATTTAGTTAATGTAACATTTTCATTATTATATTATTTTTATTATATTATTTTTATGAATTTATGAACGTGTACTCAACAAACTATTAAAAATTGAGATATTGGGGATAACTTAAAAAAAATAGTACTACTTTATGAAGTCCAGTTGCTCCTTTCATCCATTCACATGCACCTTGGGCTCCAAAATTCAACCTCAACACTAGATAAAATAGAGCTGGAAGATTCCTACCCTACATTTCTACATAGAAAATGTAACAGGATACTAGAATTTTTTATTCTATTCTTTTCTTAAAGTTGTTAGATAAATAGCGCTGTTATGTTTTAGAAATAAACATGGATGGGAAAAAGAAATCAGTTAAGTAGTCCTTTTACAGCTTAGTGCTAAAAAAAAATCTCAAAACCAATTGATGCTATTAAATGTAATATTAGTTCTTACTATAAAGCAGATATTGTCAAAATATAGGTTAACTTAGATCCTAATTTTATTCTAAATGCTTAACACGATTCTACAATTATGAAAAAGGTGACGCATCATTTGCTTTTGCTACTATTGTAAAAATGTTGATTTCATTATTGGATTCCCAAGATGGGGAAATGGCTTAATTCTTCCAACTAAATTGAACATTATTTGCATTTTTTATCATTGTAAAAATCTCGGGGAAATCTTCAAATAAATTGAAGCATAAAAGTAGAATTATTTCTTAAGTAAATAATAAATATACCCTTAATACTTTTTATTTATTATAATAAATTAGAATCACTTATGTCATTTACTTCCCGTTTAGAATTGCTGTTAAAATTACGAAAGCAATTTTAATAATAAAGCCGTTACAAAATTGCTGTCACTAAAAATCATGTTATATGTTTGGTAATATATTTTATAAAGCACTTTTATACTTAAAACACTTATAAATTTATTTGGTAATAATATTGTTTAAAATACTTTTATTGTTAATTTACTATATTAGGCATACACTATTAACGATGTTGTATGATATTAATGTGAGTGATTCATTTATATGACATGATTGTTGGTCAACATTGCATGATTATGGTTGTAAAACTAATTTAAATACACGTTATAATTAAAAAATAATTTAAAATCTTCCCTCTACGCATGCTATAGTGTGATAGTTTAAAATTTTCACTCCATAGTATCTGTGTGGTTTATTAGATATAATGTAAACAATGATAGTGATAGAGATCAATAAGGGATAAAATTGTATTTATAAAGAAAAGTGAGGGATTATATTGTAAAAAAAAAATGTAGTTACCTAACTCCACCTCGAACGCAATTCGAAAAGCTATGATTTTTGGCTTCACGTAAACACGCTTTATTTAGAAAATCTCTACAGCCTAAACGCACATTCTCTAGTCACCAAACACCTCTAATCGCATTTTTAAAAAACCAACGTGCTTTTTAGCCGCAGAGAAGCAATCCCAAACAAGCACCAGAAAAGTGCATTTAGTTAAAAGAGGAGCTTAAATATCGAATTTCTAATTATATGAAGGTATTTTAGAATATAATATACTATAGTACAGTGGTTTTAGTATAATTGCTTTTAAGATTCCCCCAGATATGCAATATTTACTAAAGATTATCCCTAATAGATCTTTTGGTTTAATGATCACCTACAATTTCTTCCTCTTCCTCAATTAAGTTGATAAGTGAGATGTAGGTTGGTGGACTATTCGAATTTTTTGTTCTTAAAATTTTTATAAATGGCCAGTTGGATAAAAGTATACATTTATAGTCTAAGGCTTAAATAAAATAAGAGATCCATGTTCTCATTATACTAGTATTAGTTATGTATTTATCTTAAGCAAGTTGTTAGTGACAAAATAACAATAGAGTATTTTGTTTGATAGAGCGGAAATCCTAACATAAAAATGCATTGTGTAAGAATCTATAATTATGATATCCCTCGATTCCGAGACATGGGTTGATCAGGTCTAAGCCCAAACCTGAGGAATATCAAACAATTAAGTAATAAACAAGCATTTGAATACAAAAGAAATACTAAGAACAAATAAAATAGCAGAAATAAACTAAATTATAAATCCTTGAA